CTTAGTGGCCTTTATATAAGGTTGGCTGCTGAGTAAGGGTTTATTGGTGTGTGAGCAATCTGAACTGTTCCAGGGTTGTTGCTGAATGGAGATGGGAGCTTGAACAGGTTTTATTTGCATTTGTAAACAAAATATTTTAAGTATGACATTGATTTAATATTCAAATTTATCAACTGAAGCAATCAAACTTGAAAGAGCCTTTAATTTTGACCTCTGCGAGAAAGACGACTGTGAGTGCAGCAGATTATTTCTATTAGTGAACAGCTATCCATTTGCCTGACTGGGATGAGGATTCGTTTTATCATTCCCATCCCAAGGGGCAATGTAAACCTTATTGATGATCTTTTAATCTGACCTCAGCAATAATTCTGCATGGTGGGCTTGGGTTTGAGTACTATAAATAGAGGTTAGTACTGCTTTTATTTCAATGTATGTGTGTGTGTATATCTGTGAGCTTTTGAGTAAATAATGTACTCGTATGGTTATAGAAATGTTCAGTACTCATCATAATCCGCAGACCACGGAGAAGATGACAATTTGTGGATATGAAGATACCGAGCCCGAGAAAATAAAATGAAAGGAAGGAAGGGAAAAAACGCTGCTCTTTCCTACTAAGAGGGCATTAGTTACTTGTCTGTGTATCCAAATGAACAGTAGGCTAATTGAACCGTAAGGATTTCAGATTGTAGCCATAAGGAAAATAATTTCCCAAGTGATTAAACTGTTACCATGCAGCTAGAATGCTACAAGTGAAAAACTGCTATAATTTCTGTGGCATCTCCGCTTGTATAATTATGGATAACTGCTCATGCATAGTTGCAGCACTCTGAGGCACTATCTTGAATGAATGGCGCTATATAAGTGTAACTAGTTGTTGCAAGCATACCATGATGCTCTTTACTCTGAATGGGTTTTATTTTGACATTTTGTAGTACAATTCCAGAATCCTATATAGCATCGTAGTATCTTCTGTATTAATAAGCATACCCAGCAAAAATATTTGATTAATTTATGTCATTTATCAATTATGACTGGTACTATGAACAAGTTAGCGACGTGAATCTGGATTAACAGACTATAAAGATCATGTGAAGCGGTTTCATAGATGAGTTTCAATGCAACGACAACAACAACAACAAAATACATTTATAGAGCACCTTTCATGTCAGGAGGATGTCCCAAAGCGCTGAACAGTCAGGTGTCGGGGCCCGAGCATGGGGGAGGGGTGGTGTAGGGGTGAGGGAAGGCAGAGAGGTGTGAGGGGGACCAAAGGCATGGTTGAAGAGAAGGGTCTTGAGACTGGCCTTGAAGGATGCAAGGGAGGAAGCAAGGTGAAGGGACCATGGGATGGAGTTCCAGAGTGTGAGGACAGAGAGGCTGAAAGCCCGGCCACCGATGGTAGAGCGGGTCGGGCGGGAAACATGGAGCAGGCTGGAGCCTGATGAACGGAGGGAGTGGGCAGTTTGGTAGAGAGTCAGCGGGTCAGAGAGGTAGGAGGGGGCAAGGCCATGGATGGCCTTAAATGTGAGGACGAGGATCTTGAACTCGATCCTCTGGGGGATGGGAACCCATTGAAGTCGGGCGAGGATGGGAGTGATGGGGTCACGGAGCCTGATGCGTAAGAGTACACGAGCTGCAGAGTTTTGGATGATCTGCAGCTTGTGAAGGGAAGGGTTGGGAAGGCGGATGAGGAGGGACTTCCTGTAATCAAGCCTTGAGGTGAAGAATGCATGGGTGAGGGTTTCGGCAGCCTGAGGGGTGAGGCAGTGGCGGAGTCTGGCAATGTTGCGGATGTGGTGGTAGGCAGTGCCAGTCATGGCGCGGATGTGGGAGAGAAAGGATAGTTCAGGGTCAAACAAGATACCCAGGTTCCTGACTGGCTTAGTGAGGTTGAGTGTGCAGCTGTGGAGGCTGATGCTGCCAGCGCCCGAGGTGCGGAGGCGCTGGCGCAAACCAATCAGGAGGGCTTCGGTCTTGCTGACGTTGAGTTGGAGAAAGTTGGCCCTCGTCCAGGACTTGATGTCGGACAGGCAGTCGATCAGGATGCCAGTAGTCCTGGAGTTCAGGGTGGAAGCAGAGAGGTAGAGTTGGGTGTCATCCATATACACGTGGAAATTTACCCCATGTCTGCGATTACGTCACCAAGGGGGGCAAGACGTCATCAAACATGCAAGAGATGGTTAGTTACCTGATTTACTATCTTGGTGCTACCAATCGTGATTTGGAATTAGTCTGAACACATTTTTTAAAAAAATCCGGAAAGTGTGAAATATTCTGGCAAAGCAAGTAACGTTTTCATTCCTTTTTAAGTGTAACTCATTCTTGCGGGGAAAAGCTGGAAATCAGGATATAATGTCTAGTGTAGCGAGCCACAGACTCATAGGGTGTGTGAAACAAAGTGCCAATCACATTTGAGCATGATGATTAGTATTTCCTGAAATGGCCTTTCACTGGCTGGTCTCCTTATTTTTTGCCTTAAGGAAAAAGTAACCACATGCTGCTTAAATTCTGACCTCCTTTTTTTATCTGGGACGAGGAGGGAAATTAAATTTGGTGTAAATTAAAGATCTGATTCAGTAAAATGTATACATCTTACTATTTGAAGGCCCCAAAATGCTGTGATGTTTTGATTACTATTTTAATGATGTATAAACATTTCTCTGTGGGCACTGTTCATTTTTCTTACTAATTTTGTACTCAGCAAAAGGTTTAAATTCTGAGAAATTAGCCATTTTCTGCATTTTTTAATTTAGTCTCAACATTAAGCAGTTTCTAGTCTGCTAACAGTATAATATATTTAAGTTCAAAGCAGTCTTCACTATTCTTTGATAATCTGCACAAACCATTACCTGCCTCACTGTGACATTTCTACTTTCCACAAATACTGTGACATTTACACTTTCCACACTAGCCATCTCTTTGGCTGTTCTGATTGAGACCAGCTGAGGGAAATGCTATTATTGTACCAAATTGTTATATATTTTGAATTATGGTTCTCTGCTTACTGGGAAGCTGCAATCTTCAAATCCTTCAATAAGGGTCTTTATGGCCAACTGAGAGAGAGGTAGGAGACTTTGATTCCATCTGATTGAACAGAAATCATATAAGGGTCTAAAGATAAAGGAATATTTAAGACACTATACGGCTTAATATCATCTCTTATCCTCTCCGCGTTGTTCATGCCTTTTGCTTTTATGTCATGAAAAAGTTACAAATTTGGCTCATGAGACTTAAATGAAATTAGTGCATGGTTTCTCAAATTACTGTGAAATGTTTCAACGTTGCTGTACTGCATTTCCTGCTATAGTAGTTAGACTCTTTATGTAGTGTTGGAATTGATTCCTGTAGTTTTTTAAAAAAAGTATAATGCTTACAAATATGGTTTAAATAAAGCTACAAATTAGTATAAATTTAAAACAAGCTTTTGCTTCCATGCACGCAAGGTAGACTTTTAAAGTTCCTTGCAAGTATCATGAAAATATTGTTGACATCTTGTTTTCAACATTCTATTACATGTTGATATACAGTGTTTTGTTTGTAAATATACATACATGTAGTTACAGTGTATTTCAGTTTACTTTTCATGTTTATTGGATCTTCCTGTTTTGAGAGGGAGGACGGAGGGGGACGGAGGAAGATAAATTATTTGCCTGTAAAATCTTTGGTTAAATTCACAAAATAAACAAATGTAAAAATGCAAGTCTGTTGCTCAACAGAAATTAGCTTCAGTTAAATGCTGAATATTGTTGCCTTTCGTTTGGATAAATACACATCATTGGTTATCATTATTTGTTTTAAGATCATATGAATAATTTAATAACTGCACTGTGTTAATACTTTTTATCTCTGTTTTGATTTCAAAGGCAGAATTGTGAAATTATTCTAGGCCATTTGGTGTTTGGACCATTTGGACGTGAAACTCTTGTTGTTGTTAAACTCATTCCATGGTGAAAATGTACACTAGTAATCCATGTTCTGGACCTCTCTTACCTCCAAAGCCTCATTTTATTGTGAAGCATTTGAATACAAGATTGATTAACTGACTCATAACAGACAGCAGTAAATTAGATTATTTCAAAGTGGATTAAAAAAGACAAATATAGAGCAAGTTGAAGATGATCTTTTTTCCCCACGATTTCCAATTTCTAACTATGATTTGGGAGAGAGGGTGGAGGGAGAGGTGAGGAGAGAAAACGGAAGAATGAACATGATGAATATGAGCTGATGTCACTTTTTAATTGTCCCCTTATCTTTTTCTCTTACTCTTTATCTGAAAACAAATGCAACAACAGAACTATTTGTTCTTTTTAAGTGGTCAGATCCCGTTGATTTGCGACAATAAATTGTTTCTGCCAGTAATGTTCTTAGAGAAAAAAATATTTATTGGTTGACAGAGTACTGTGGAGTTTCCGATGGTGACCTCGGAGGCACATTAGATCAGAAACTCAATGTACTGTAGAGTTAGGCATAACTAATGTTTGCTGCTTAACACTAGTGATTCATTTGAAGCTGATGTGCTTGAGTTCTATTAATGCTGCAGATGGTGGTGATTATATGTTCATGCTTTAGACTTCTGTTTTCTCCTGTTAAATACTTTTGAAATAATTTCCTCAATTAATCAGAGGTGTAACATGGTAAAAGGTTAAACTTACAGTATTCTATGTGAACATTTTGTTGCCTTTACATTTGTCACAGGTACAGTTAAGGTGGCTCCAGGTGTTTTTGCATGAGTTAGGAGGGAATTAGAAGTGTGCTCCATGTTGTTTTGTAACAGATATGATGCACACTATCTTAAAGACCCTAATTTATTTAGATTTATATTCATTTGAAAAGCATATTGGACAAAAAAGCATGTTGTCTTACTATCTAGTAGGTTTTAGGGAATTCACTGAATTTGACCATATCAGTAATGGATTGATTATCAGTTGCTATTTAATTTATTGCAACGATTTTTTTATGAAAAAGTATTAAATGAAAATTTTATTTTAATTTCATTTCAGGTTCATCTATCATTTCTGGATTCAAGTTGCACTTCATCCATAAAACTTTTCTACGATGGTACCAAGTTATAGCTGTACTCACTGCCCCAGGTATGAAGTTCAATACATTTCTGTGCATAGCTTTCAGTATTACTCTAATTAAAAGTTTGAAGCTGAAAATGCAGAGTTGATAATTGATGCAATGTAAACATGGAGAAAGTTGTTAGGTTCCCACGTTAGGACTTTGCACTTACATTGTCTCGGCTGATGCTCCAATGCCGTGGTGGGCATGCACTACCTTGTTGGAAGTGTCACCCTTTGAGCGAGATATTAAGCCCTGGTCCTGTCTACCTGGCACATTTCTTCCAGTGTCTTGGCCAAAAATCCTTTTTTTTAAAAATAGTTTTTTTTCAAATTGTGAAGAGAAAAATTACAAAGTTAAAAACTTACAGTAGCATGAATAAAACTGAGAAACTCTTAAACAGGTTCCTAGAAATATAGGGTAGCCTCATTATGATTCAATCACTAACATTTTATTGCTAGCTTTTGGAGCTACTTTATTTTTAGTGAAATGACTTCCCGCATTGATTGTGGGAAGCCACATGACATAGTTTAACTTCCAAAAGACGTTTGACCAAGTACAACATGAAAGACTCCTTCATAAACTGATGGTGCTGGATGTCCAGGGTATCACCTGTTGTATCAAACAGAGGGGCATAGTTAGAGGATTTAGATTCCTAACCGTAGAACCTTAAGGTGACCACATTGGAACAGTGGAATCAGATATGGCAGCAAAGGTCCTATAACAACAACTTGCACTTATATAGTGCCCTCCACGCAGGGTAGCGTCTCACAAGGAGAGTTTGATAGGGAATGCACATTGGCTGATATTGAGTTATTGCTTGCCATGTCAGAACAGCGTGTGGCAGCAATAATTAAGACAAACAGGATGATGGGCTGTATTGCTCAATTGGTTGAATTCAGATTACCAGAAATCATAGTTGAGCTGTATAGGTTTATGGTCAGACAGGACCTAAAGTACTGCTTCCATTTCTGGGTCACTGTGACATAAGGGAACTAGCTGCCCAGGCAACAGTGCCAGTGCAGAGAAAAGCACTGAGGACGAATCTCAGTCTTGGAGGAATGAGCTATGAGGAACAATTAGAGAAGCTAGCGCTATTCAGCTTGAAAAGAGACACCTATGAGGACAAACCAATGTATGCATAGTCCTTTATTCCTGTTATAATTCACACCTTTTAATCTGGGGAGAATATATTAAGTTTGTGTCAGCAGGAGGTTCCTTTTAAAAAAAAGCTTTGAGATATCTTGAAGACGTGATAACGGGCTGTATCAAATGCAAGGATTATTATAATTTAGCGCAAGGTAACGCAGCTGGAGGAGATGGCACATATAGAGTGCAACAAGAACATATGAGGGTCAGGACCAGGAACGTATAAACTGAGTGGACCTGGAGCCAGTGAAGCTCTGTGAGATTTCCTTTTTCAATGGTGGTTTCTGGAGGCATTGATAGGCATAGTTTTTGCTGCTATTACTCTCTCTTTGCCAACGTGATTAATTAATGAGAAGTCCATAGAGGAAGTGACATTGGCATTTGATAGTTCATTGTATTTTTTGCTTGTGATAGTTTACAGAAAGTACTCGATTTGATTGTATTGGTTGGAGTCCTGTAGCTCAATGATTAGAGCACTCACCTTGCAAGCAAGACACCGGAGTTCAATTCTAGGCAGGGCGAAACCTTAGGCAAGTTTCTTTACTCCACATGCCTAATAATAATCCCTCCAAAACATTAATAAATTGGTCATTTTCAATCCACGACTGTTTGTGGGATACTGCTGTGAGCAATTGGCTGCTGCGTTTCGCCCACAAATATACGGTCAATTCACTTTACCGTATATTCTGTAAAGCGCTTTGAGACGTCTAGAAGATGTGAAAAGCGCTATATCAAATGCAAGGATTATTATTATTATTAAGTGTTAAGTTCTGCCAGAAAAGCATTACAGGAAGGAGAATTAAATTGAAACCTAGCTTCTGTTGAAATAGTAGGTAGTTGATTTGATGTGTGCATTGTGCCACGGATTGGGAGACCCAGAATACAACTAGCAGCCTCTGATGTTTTAATATTAGAATTCCAACTTTCTGTAGACATGTTACCATTCTAAGGTAGGGTAGCAATTGTAGAAAAGAATAACATTAAGTTATTGTTATTTCTTGATGTAGGAAGGAGATGGCTATCAGCATGCAGTGCTAAATTGTGAATGCTGATTGTGAAAACATTTCACAGAGCAAATTCCCTAATTTTAATTGCAGTTGTCTTATCGGAATTGTGATTAAAATAAATGTTTAGAAAAAGTTATGCGAACTTTAGTGAAATCTATTGGTCAAGTTTGTTTGTTTCAAATTGATACATTTTGAATATTTTCTATTCTACAATCAAGAAATTGATTGTATATGGAGAATAATTGTAATTGAGAAGAAATCCACAGTCAAGTTACAAAATATCCGTCAGTTGAGCTACTACTATATTTGTTTCTATCACTTCCTATTACTGTGCTTTCTTTTGGCCACTCCCAAACCAGTTGTTTTTTTTCTTTGCATTTCCATACAAGGAAGTCTTTGGACAGAGTAAGTTTCAAGATTACTTGCACAAATGAGTCATTGGCAAACAAGTGAGGATATGACTGTTTTGTCATGTTGCTATGCTGAGGATTTCACAATAAATTATGGTAATCCTACATTCTTGTTGATAGTTCGCTTGATAGTAATTACTTATAAAGCACTTTGAGACATTTTAATATGCTATATAAAATTGCAAGTTCTTTTTCTTACGAAGTTAATTTTATGTTGCTGAAGCGAATTTCTGGCAGGTTTATCTGCTCCATGTATAAACTTAATGCAGATTTTTACAAAAAAAAAGTGTCTTGCCGTGTTTTCTGCTCTTCTCTTGAAGGCGTCTTGATTCCTTTCTCCTTCTGCTGAGATGTGATTCCTTAGATACCCACCTAAAAGGCCAGTGTTTACAAATGAGACTTGATAGTGAGTTTGGCAGGTTATTACACTACAGGGACACTCAAATCAAATTTGATCATTTCAATGCCAGTGTACAAACACACTCAACTTTCTGCAGGGGTCTTTGGATAACGATCAAGGGCATGAAACTTGGCTGACTGTTCTCTTCTCTAACCTGGGACTTTGAGGCCAACAGCAACACACCAAAGTGCTGCCCTGGCTGGTGGGTCTAATCAGTTTTACCTGGGGGTGTTGCCGAGGAAGATTTGGGGGAAAGGGAGGTGGATCATTAACTACAATTGGCAAGCATTATAAAACTGTAACATTGTAAAGTTTAATCCCATCCAAGTGAATGAGTATACACTGAAGTAATGTGATAATATAACTATATCATCTTCATAAAGGTGTTACTACAAGTTTCAATTTTGACAATCGTGGAGTATTTGTCAAGTTTTTATCTTTTTAGGAACGTCATAAATAACTGGTGGAGTTTTATAAAACGGCATCAACAAAAGAGCACAATTTTTATTTGTACAGCTTCTAACTACTTTCAATAAAACGTTACACAGCACTGTGTTTGTTGAAACAGCTGCTAGATACAGAATGGTTGAGCCATTATAGGGTTTGCATGGTTTCTGGAATCAACGTGCTGTGTTTTCCCAACGTGACTTGAAATCTAATTAGGATCTACTGTATTGTATTCAGACTCTTAGTAACATTGGAATATGTAATTTAAGACGAAAAATAAGCTGAACTAATAATCTGTCCACCATGAGGCCTGTTGCCATGGATTCAATTTTCATATTCTGCGTCTTCATGTTCTTGCTCCACTTCATTCGTAAATCTAATTTGGAGGAAGATTTTTTCCATCTCATGATCTTCCCTTGTGATACTGGATCTGTTTACTAACAGTCATGTAATTGTGCAGTAGCTCCTGCTTCCTCTCCTAGTTAACTACACATGTAGATCCTCCAGAACTCTGTTGGCATCAGGCTATGTAAACCCATCCTTGCTCTGCTCCAACGTCTCCCCATATTCCAGTGGATCGAATTCAAGATTCTTGTCACCTCTTTCAGAACCTTGCCTCCAGAACCTTGACCCACCCCTCATCTACTACCTCTTGTGACCCTACTTCTCTAGCTGTTCCTTCCACTTGAGAAATACTGGCCTGCTTTACGTCCCTCGTCTGATTCGCTCCAACATCATTGGATGAGTCTTCAATCATTTTGCCTCTGCTGTGTGACACTCCATCCCAGAGTCCCACTGCCTGCCCTCTTACTCGCTGGTTTCAAAACCCACCTTAAGACCTATGTTTTCAATTGAGCTTTGGCTCCCAACCCACCACCAGCATTTCACACAGCTCGGGCTCCCAGTCAACTGAATTGCTTTGAGATGTCCTTCTGACAAGAAAGGCAGTATATATGTATAAATGATTGTGGATCTAAAACATCTGCTTTATTTTACCTTTTGTGATGAATCAAAAATCACTAACGACAATTTGATTTTCTGAAGTCTTATTATTTTGTGTTTTTATAATCAATACTTTAATTGTATCAAACTACTGGCTACCCACTGATGTGGTTCAGATGACTTTGTGTTGGTGGGTCACATGATTTTTACTATTACATATCATTGGTCAGGTTCATTGTAATGTAATATGTAATGTCTTCATAATTTCAATGTTCATGGGGTTAACATTATTATGTACCGATTTCAGGTTAATGTTAATCTAACAAACATTGAATTTGTGATCTTCCCGCATGACACTGGATCTGCTCACTAACATTTATGTGATTGCCCAATGCTTCCTCTTCTAGTTAATTATACATGCATAAAGACATGCTGACGTAATCCATTTCCTTTATTGACTTTAATTTCCTTGGGACCGAAATAGTTTAATAGAATTAACCATCACGTGTAGGAAACAATGCATTAAAGGAAATTTTGCATGTTTATTTGGTATTCAATACAGTGGTTTATCAACACAATGACATGCTGAAGACAGAATGATATTCCATCTTGTAGAGTGAAAAGTAAAACAAGTATTTGCATCCTAGATCAATTAAATAATGTGTTTTGGTATGAAGTCTGAGTTATTGAAAAATATATTACAGCAGCTAATACATTTCATATTTTAAACTGTGATGCTAACAGAGGAGCTGAAAAGGCTCTATGATGACTTTATGTAATGTAAACAATAATAATGATAATCTTGCATTGATATAGCGCTTTATCACATCTTCAAGACGTCTCAAAGGGCTTCACAGAATATACTGTAAAGTGAATCAACTGTATATTTTGTGGGCGAAATGCAGCTCTTTCACTCGACGACAGGGTTTGAAGCATACTTTATGGCTTCCATCTTGACTGACTCATTTACTTTCAAATCAGTTTGTAAATGTTGCTGTGGGCAATGATTCGTTAGAAAATTAATGCGTCATCTTGATGTTCCAGCATTCTTTGTTTCTCTTCAAAACGTCTTTCCATCTGTTTCCTTCATTCTTTATAACTTACCCACATTAATAAACCGTTGTTTGGCTTTATGGAGCCTACAAAATAATTTTTATCTTAAAGACGCAAACTGAGTAAGTCCATTAAAACCCTCACTACAAATGCATATTTATATATTAAATTATGAAGATATTTGAGTTTATTAATTTGGGCTTACATCTCCATATAATGCAAATAATTCTATTACTAAGATGTTTTGTGTAAAAAGCGATTAAACAAGATTAACACATTTCTTGACAGTGAAATCTAAATTATTCACACAAATTTCTAAGTCCAGTACAGCCTCTTAGCCAATGTGGGTTACAAGGTGAGAAAAAAAACAGTTCTCCATTTGCAGTTGATCAGTTTTAAAATTTGCCAGGATATCAACGAATTGAGTTAAAATCAAACTAAAAGCAGCTTCCTTGGATGCCATGTTGACATATATAATTGCCATATATAATAATAATCCTTGCATTTGATATAGCGCCTTATCACATCATTGAGACATCTCAAAGTGATTCACAGATATACTGTAGAGTGGATTGACTGTATTTTGTGGGCAAAACACAGCAGTGTCCCACAAACAGCCATAAAGTGAGTGACAAATTTTGCACGTTAGTTCTAAAATTGCAACATTGAGATGGTGCAACTTACTTTGTGATATAAGTTTCAAGAATTTGATACTTTAGCATTCACTAAAGAAGCAGGTATAATAGTTGACTGTAATATTATGGTTTTTCAACTCAATTAAATCTCAGTTGATTAGTGAAAGTAACCAGTTGCTATAATCTGTACCATACATTTTGTGTTTTCCTTCTTTATGTAGAACGGCTTGTGATGGTGAGCAGAGTTTAGCTATCTATAAATAAAGCTAACGTCAGTATAGGCCAAACTGAATAGAAGGATTAAGATATTTATCTGATAAGCTTTTGTTTAAGATTTGCAGATGTAAAAGTGAGCAGTGGGTTTCCCTCCTATCCATTAAGTCATGTTGTATGAAAGGGTCTATGTTGATCTAAACCCACATATTCATGTTTATTTCATGTCTTAAAAATTTGAAATTGTTTGTTTTACAGAAACCTCTTTGTTGAACCTTAATGAACCCACTGCTTTCATAATAAAATTGAACAATGTTACAAGAAATAGGTAAGTTTAAACTGCTTTCTCTCTAATTATGTAAGCATATTTTGTTCTTTGATTATACAATACTCCAGCAACCTTATCTTTTATTCTCTGGTAAAATGGTGACTAAATTTGTTTAGTTTTTTTAGAAAAATCAAACATTCAAAGCACTAGCTAAAATTCTTCAGATTAAATTGCCAGTTATGTTGCAATTCATTTTTTATCATCCAGGGGTAAACCAGGTCTCTTGACCTTTGATTTACGCCCTCATATTCGGTATTGGTACTGTAGTTTCCCACCCCATTATAAAGACGCAGTAGAGACTGTTTCCCCTGGTAGGAGAATCTATAACTAGGAGTCACATTCTTAAGATTAAAGGTCAGCCTTTTCGAACAGAGTTGAGGAAACACTTCTTCACTCAGAGGGTAGTGAATTTATGGAATTCTCTACCCCAGAAGGCTGCAGATACTCAGTACTTGAACAATTCAAGACTGAGATTGATAGATTTCTAAAGGATAGAGGGATTAAAGGATATGGGGATAAGGCGGGCAGATGGAGTTAGATTAGAAGATCAGGCCATGATCTTATTGAATGGTGGGTAGGCTCGAGGGGCCAAATGGCCTACTCCTGCTCCTGATTCCTATGTTCCTAGAAAATGTTTCTGATTTGGCAATGTAAGATAAAATCTGCTCTCTCGTTCTCATATATATATATATAGATTTGTTGGTGTGTGTATATATATATAACAAAATTATATATATATGTGTTTTCATCATATGTTTTGATTAGAAGCTGTAGAAAACATCTAAAATGGTGGATCAACCAGTGAAAGTACAAAAAACTAATACCTATTGAAACTGAAGCTGCAACAGCAGTACATATGTAACAGTGAGGGATCAGAACCTACAGTATTGGCAAGGGTGTGTTTTGTGACAGCTCAAGAGATTGTGATGGTTGAAATGTAGAGAACAGTCAAAAAACTAACCGTGTGTTCATCATCCTTTGCACAATTTATGCATTGGTTTTAATTCCACACAATCTTACCATCTGCTCATCTTGCAAGCTGTTTTTTAATCAAGTTAGAATCTACAGTATTGGCAAGTGTTGGACAGATCAAGAGATTGTGCAAGTTATAATGTGAACATGTATTTCGAAAAAGTTGAAGAAATGTGGTTAACTAATGTTGTCATACTCGTGGAGGGCAGAGGAGGACGTAAGGTGATCAAAAGCATGGTTGAAGAGGAGGGTCTTGAGATGGGTCTTGAAGGAGGCAAGGGAGCGGGTGAGAACCAATGGCTGTGTTGTGACAGATTAAGAGATTGTGATAATTGAAATGTAAACTGCCATGTTACTTGATCACATTTATTTCTAAAAAGGTGAGGAAATATGGCTTTCTCCTATATACTGTTATCATACTTGTAGTTCTACCAAAACATGTTGCTGTCACCTTACTGTGATATTGCTGCAAATTGTAATGATTTTGGAGATCTTTATTTGGATACATCAATGCTGGACTCTTTTTGGCTTGCTTTAATTGAGTAACAATCAGAACACAGCTTTTCCGATGGCCAACTGGACCAGAAGGATGCAGAATGCTGTGTTTGCTGTGTTGGGGTGTTATAATGGCCTTCAGTACCCTGGGTGGGAGAGGATAAAATCAGGCAAGGTTCCTGCTCCTGATTGTTCTCCTGAACATCCTGCTAGTGTGTGTGTGTGTGTGTGTGTGTGCATGATTTTGTACGTCGTATGAGAGCAGGATACGGCTTAGCCGTGATTTATGGAATTCCCTACCCCAGAAGGCTGTAGATGCTCGGTCCTTGAACATCTTCAAGGCTGAGACTGATAGGTTTTTAAAATACAGAGGGATTAGGGGATATGGGGATAGGGCAGGTAATTAGAGTTAGGTCAGAAGATCAGCCATGATCTTATTGAATGGCGGGGCAGGCTCGAGGGGCCGAATGGCCTACTCCTGCTCCTAATTCTTATGTTCTTATGTTCTCCCCATGGAAAAATAGACTGACAAAATTCACATATGAATTATAAGAGAGGGACTGGCACTTCTGGAATTTTACCTTAGTACAGGGCGAGCAAAAAGTCATGATATCTACCCTATTATCTAAAAAAATCATCATTTCTTTAAGACTTATTAGACACTGCATCACAATGATATCACAACTTTTTTTTGTCACCCTGAAGATAAAGAGTATCAAGTTGTCTTCAGGAGGGAAGAGAAAAAATTGGCAGAGGAAAAAAAATTTAAATATTGCTATGGTTGGAGTGCAGCGGAGAAGGCAGATTTAGTGACGTTGGAGTTTTATTTTTTTATTACACAAAGTAGAAAATAAACCTCTGATATTATAACATTTAAAAACTAACAATGTGTTGATCATCCTTTGCACAATTTATGTATTAGTTTTAATTCCACGCAGTTCTGCTATCTGCTCACCTTGCAAACTGTTTATATTGTAAGGATCTTTTTATGGTAGTTATTTTTCTTCCTTTTAATTAAAATATAATTGCTACTTTTATTGTACAGTGTTCAGTTGAAACTGTTACTCATCTTAATATGCCTCAGTATGTGAACCTAGTCTGAAAATCCTCTTCATGAGGATGAAGAATTAATTTGTCTCAAAATAGGGAACAATACACTGCTATCATAATGTTTTATGAAGGAACTCTTGTCCTTGGGTGCAAGCACAGCCTGAAGGTCAGTAACATAAACTGATCAATTTTGGTTCAAGCGCTCTACACAAATCAAACAAACCTTGTAAGTATGGTAGTATCTGTAGCAGTCTTGACACCAGAGCACAAATCATTTTGACACAATGATACAGCTTTTAAGGAGAAAGTTCATGGATAATTAGGCATCTCATAACAAACCTGAGTGGATCAGACTGGTTCTCTGAATGGGTAATACTATCAGCTGGAAGTCAGGAATTTAGGCCAATATTGTCTTGTGACAAGATAAATCTTATTTATAGGGAGGGGGAAGCTGTTCTTTTGGAATGCTGCAGAGACAAATTGCATTCCTCGTAAATTACGCACATGCACATAACTTTTTGTTGGCTTCATACTTCATACCTTTGCATTGGATCTCAATGTGGATAAACCAACATGCAGATAGTCAGTGTGCACGTACACCGTGTTCTGCTCTATTTGGTAGCTAGCACAAAAGATTGTCTGGAGCGGCTATGACTACTTTCTCCTTGTATACTTTAGGACTTCAGGTTTCAATTACAACAGTCCTATACTGTTGTTAGTTTCTGTTTTAAATGCTGGTGCTTGTTCCCCCACTGGAGCTAACCGCTCTAATCCTATTTCCTTGTACCCTTTAACACTGAAGACTATTGTCCATGATTTTCTCAGCTGATCCAATTATTGTGCATCTGCGCTCTGAGCTCACAGATGGCTTGTGACCCTTATGCTGTTACAAATGTGTGTGCTTTCCAACTGTAAAGTGGATGTTGCAACTTGGACCAGCAATTTGTACAGTTTATTTACAGTCAATTAGGAGAAAGACTAAGCCATTTAATAGTGATATTACAAAGACTTCTATTAACAAAGTATTATACGGTTGCCATTTGAGTTTTGAGCCCCATTTCCTATTCACTAGAATCAACAGTTTACAGTGTATTATTTATATGGCTCTGGTCTTTTGCTATAGTCTTGTATTACACTCTTTCTCTCTTCCTCTCCTGAGGACTTTTTGACTAATTTCCACTGGGGATGATTTCCACAAATGCTGATTTGCTTCCATGGTCACCTAGGTTTAAATGGGAATATTCCACTTGTGAGGTTTGACAGTATTGGCAGACTATTGAACTGAGGAGAAGGGGAACATTGCATCTAATCATGTCCTCATCTGATGTCTACATTCGTTTTCCAGTATGATCTATTCTGAATATTAGAATTGTTTTTCGGCCCCTCCCACACCTTTTTCCTAACTTGGAGCCCCTGAGGGTAATTAGGTGTCCTGGCTGAGATCAACCACCTGAGCTGAGTGGGCTACAGCCTGCAATACTGTATGATTTATCACAAGACTGCGTTTGGGTGCTTTTACCACTCAGGAAACTTGTTTAGCTTTTTTTTACAATGGAACCTATTGTGTGATTTGCCTGTCATTACCAGGATTTGAGATCCTCTCCACCCTCTGTGTTGATAGATATTTATTCTCGTGCTCTTTTATACTGACATCTGATTCCTGGTTCTACCATACTGAGTTGCGCATTAAAATTAGTTTAGTTTTCTAGTGGTTCTCAGGCAATGATGATTATTGACGTGTTCAGGCAGCCAGGGATCTGGAGGTGAATTTTTAAAAAAAATATTGTGGAGAATTCTACATACGTTTCTCATTTTTAATCTTCTGCATATAGCAACAACAAAATAAACTTTGTTTTGCGAAGAATAAACAAGTAATTAGTACGTAATTAGTACGTCCACAGGCTGCAGATAATCCAGAACTCTGCAGCCCGTTTCCTCTCCCGCACCAAACTCCGTGACCCCATTTCCCCCATTCTTGCCCGAATCCATTGGCTCTCTATCCTTTAGAAGATCCAGTTCAAAATCCTAGTCCTCACCTACAAAGCCCTCAATGGTCTCGCCCCACCCTATCTCTGTAACCTCCTAACCCCCTACCAACCCGCCCGCACCCTCCGCTCAGCCAGCTCCAGCCTGCTCCATGACCCCCGACCCACCCGCCCCACCATTGGCAGAAGAGCCTTCAGCCACTCTGCCCCCAATCTCTGGAACTCCATCCCACAATCACCCCGCCTCACCCCCTCCTTAGCCTCCTTCAAGTCCTGCCTCAAAACCCTCCTCTTTGACCATGCCATCGGTCTCCCCCCTTCCCCTCCCCTCCTTTCTCCCTCCCTAACCCCAGCTTGGGTCTGAAATGCTGTACACTGTCCAGCGCCTTGGGACATCCTCCCGACGTGAAAGGGGCTATACAGATGTAATCTTGTTGTTGTAAATGTGATATTGATTTGTGAGTCATAAAGAAACCTGTTGTTCAGAATTGCATTCTGAAGCAGTGTACAATTGAAGCAGCTTGGTCAAGCTAACACATTAACGACTATAAATACCACTTCCCTTAACAGGAAAAGAATTGTTATTCTGAAGAATGTCCGTTTAGTCTTTCCACTAAAGAAAGGATGTGACTATTAGAATCCTGACTCACCCTTGAATACAGTAGGTTGAAGCACCAGATTACATATAACATTCTTGAGACACACCCAATTTTACAAGTTATTTTCTTTTGCCATTTGAATTGCATTACTCTAGTCTGACAACTTGCAGGATGGAAATTATTATAATTCAACACTGTTCAGAAGTAGTTATTTGCCTTGGCATAATTTTTCAGTCAGCACTGCACGCCTCATTTTGTTAGTGCGGACAGCTAACGTGCAGAAATGGTTTGGAAGGCAACAGAGGAGTGGCTTTCAGCAAAATCAGTAAGTGTTTCTCTGAATTCTTATTTCAATGTTCCTTTTTTTATTGTTCTTTTGACTTACTATCACAGTTTAGAGTTTCAGTCATTTTGTTTAAAAAATTAGGACTTTGAAGATTTATTATAACTAAAACATTCAGACCAGCTGGAAACTATGTGCTTGAACTATACAGAGCTGAGTTGAGCCAAATGTGAGCTAATCATTGAAGGAAACCATCCTTACATTCACTTTTTTAAAAAAAATCTAGCTGGCATCATGTAGGTTTATTATTCTTAAATTTTTCAAACATTTTGCAAATAAGTTGAGGTCTGTAAATACACTAAATTATAAAGTATATGTTTAGGAGAATTTCTAAAGTTAATAAGCTGTACTTATTTTTTGCTTTAGCTTTGAAGCACTTATTTATTTCATAAGATTGCTCGTAGTGTTTCATGAGAACCCGACCTCCTTGGGGCCCTTTCTCTTTATATTTTTGTATAAATAGTACAGAAAAAAAAAATAAAAACTTGCAGTTATACAGCACCTTTACCATAGGGTGATGGTCTCGAGCCACCTTACAGAGATTGTCTCAGATACCGAGTAGGATGGGTGGGGTGGGGGTTGGGAAGGAGATGACTGGAGGCAGAGGGGGAGAGGAATGCACAGCAGACCAAAATTGTCTGAGTGTACAGGGGAGTGAGGCTGGAAATTGTCATAGAGGAAAGGAGGGAGGAGTGAGAGTGTGCATTTGTAAGTAAGGATGAAGAGTTGACCCACTGGGAGATTGGGAGACAGTGGAGCCTGACAAGGCCAGGGGTGATTAGCAAGCAAAGCTTTGTGAGGGCAAGAATGTGAGCAGGAGAAGATGGTGTATATATTAACTTAGCATGACTCATTAGTGGGGAATATATTATAAACTGTATCCAGAATGAAGGATGATTATGGTAATATCCAATTCAGCTCTATTTTAATGTTTTTGAATAGTTAGTGGGTGTAACTGTTTTGGTTAGCTGCTTATTTGTGTAACTACATTCTGATGGTAGATCAGAGCAACTGTTAATAACACTAACAAATGAAGTTATGATATGCTGCAATGTATGCTGTTTAATGGAAAGCATCTAGCGGTTGATAGATAGCACATGTAGTGCTGGAGAGATTAGCAGGAAATTCCTTTTTCAGTGTGGAAAATACAGATAAGAATGGTTCTGTACTAAATATTTGGGTGGGTTGGCTTAGCTGTTTGGTAACTTCCGAACAGCTGTACAGTGTTAATTTTATACGTTCACAGCTGAAGAAGCTCTGTTCAGTACAACCCACAGTACACTCTATCTATTGCAACTGTCAGTAGTAATGCCCGTTACAAGGGTCTCAATTGGAGTTGAAACAGGTGGATTGAGTCTTTTATCTTCTCTTGCTAATGATTAGTTTTAATTTCTGCGATTAGCCATCATTAATTTACTGACTGTTGTTGAAGATAGTCATCAAATCCATAACTGCATAATTACCTTAACCTTAAAGTTCGACAATTCATTTAATATTGTAATGCATAGAATTCATTTACATTTATTAAGTTTATCAGGGTAATTTTATTGTTTTGCGTCTACTTTTGTACCAACATGGCTTTCGGTACACTTGTCCATTACCATTTTGATACGTTGTCAGAATCCTGGCCTAGTGTTTACAATACATCATATGCTTTTATCCAAAAGTCATGCAAGTATAGTTGCAAAATAGATCTGTACATCTATGTACAAATAGGAATGCTTTCCTGGGTGTGTTCTTTGTATTGGAATCCTGATTATTTGCAGATAATATAAAGAGGCGTGATTGTTTAATGTAAAATTTCTCTTTGCAGAAAACGATACGTTTTATTTTCTAGTATGCATAAAATCGCTCAAATTGTATATAATCCTTTTTTAATCTGTACTTTGACAACTGGTGTACGTTTTACTGAACTCCATACATAATCCCTTCAAAAAAATAAAAACAAAATAATAATAATTTGGTCACTCAATCCACGACTGTTTTTGGGACACTGCTGTGCGCAATTGGCTGCTGTGTTTCACCCACGAAATATACAGCCAATTCACTTCGCAGTATATTCTGTGAAGCGCTTTGAGACGTCTCGAAGACTTGATAAGGCACTATATCAAATGCAAGGACTATTATTATCATATTTTGTTTTTTCAGATGAAGGTCTGTTCAGAAATTAGCCCCACTATGTATTTATATACAGAAAGTTCCCCTTTCCGATAAAGCAGCTTTCATGTAACTCCAGCACCACTTCTGCTTTGTCTTAGATTCTTTCAGTGCAAGATTTACCACACAGAATGTGCATTAGGTTGGCTGTTACTGGCTTGTCGGCACTCAAGATGGAGCTATGAAATCAATTCACTAACTTTACTTAACTATTTGCATTTGCTTTTCTTATTTGGGGCAGAAAATCTTATTGGACTTTGATGTATTATTGTAAAATGGAAAATTGGAATATCCTGACATTTACTTTTAAACTATTTTTCTCCTCCAGATTTACTCCTTCACACAAACCTCGCCTCACAATAAGTTCCAGTAATATGTCTGAAACACAAGCATTCTGATGCACCCACGATGTGCTAGCTGAGAGAAAACAGCAAACCAAATCACCAGAATATGTGCCAAACAAGAATCGTATAATACTGTGTGTTGATGTACTCTAGATGATATGAACGAGCCAAGAAAGGATCAAATTATTTTGCCCAACAAGAGTAAAATAATGGTGTGGAAGATGCTACTGCTGACTCGTGCTTGCTGTTAATTTTGCTGATGTTTGATTATCATGTTGGACTCCATTTACTGCTGAGATGATGGAGGTGGGGAAATGGTCATCCAAAGAAGTGCTCGCCTGGTTGACGGAACATGGCATGCAGGAGTATTCCGATGCATTTCATAACCAGCTAAATGGCCATGACTTGTTAAAACTGTCTCAGCAAGATTTCCAGAGACTGCCCTTGTCTCACATTGCATCAGACAATGGACAGCAACTGTTAGAAAAAATCGAAACGTTAAAGATTGAGCATCACATAGAAGCACACAAAAACGGACATGCAAATGGACATCTTTGCACAGGGAATGATATCAATAATAAAACCAAAAGGAACGGCTTGGCGAACGGTTTTCGTAAAGAAATGGTTCAAATCCCCATGCCGGAACTGGAGCGACTTCAGACACCTCTGGAATGGTGGAAGACTGGTGTAGCTTTCCTTTATGCAGTTTTTTGTTTTCTACTCACAACAGTGATGATTTCAGTTGTTCACGAACGTGTGCCTCCCAAGGAGGAACAACCTCCTCTTCCAGACAAATTTTTTGACTATTTTAACAGGGTAGAATGGGCCTTCTCCATTTGTGAAATCAATGGGATGATACTTGTAGGATTGTGGCTTGTTCAGTGGGTGCTAATGAAATACAGGTAAGTGCAAACTGCGATCGGATTTAATCTCTGAAGCATGCTAAATGTAATTCTAGTTAATCAAAAATACAGTATATATGAAATATTTGTGAATTCAAATAATTCCTCCTTTCACATTCCATAAAACAATTTCTAATTGTAATTCTAGTTATTCATAAATACAGCATATATGAAATATTTGTATATTCAAATAATTCCTCCTATCGCATTCTATAAATCTATTTGTTTGGTTATCAAACCATACCCTATGACAAATAATTAACATAAACATGACTGTAGCATCATTGCTAAGGAATGCCAAGAAATTTGAAGTTACTTTCCAAAGTTTAATAAGATATTTGGGAATTGGGAGTCTCCATGAAGATCTTTGTATTATGATGACAGTTTTAGGAAATTGAATAAAATACCATTTAAAGTGTCATGATTCAGATTTTTAATATCTGAAGCATTAAAAATGTAGACTTGACATCAACTGTTTCTGCAAAATCTATGGATATAAATGCAAAAATTGCAAAGTTTCAAGTGAATTTAAAGATTGGAAGATATTTTCTTCTCTACTCTCTCTGCCCTCTACCCCCACCACACAAAACACACCACACACACACGCACACATATAGAAATACACTTCCATCAACAGCAGCTGATTAACCAGGGATTAACCTTTTTTTAAAAAAAAGGAAGACTAGGATGAATGCTTGTTTGGTTTTGAAAGGGATTGGGGATTATAAGGATTAGTCATAGATGGTTGAACATTATGGTTCCAGTCCAATGTAAGGAAGCAGGTTAGGGCTGTGTAAAGTGTAATGTTGACTTAATATGCTGTAGTGTTTGTATGTTTAGATGATTTAGGTATTACGGTAGATTTTTGAAGAGTTTTTCTTAATCTTTAGCTGTGGCTGCTCACTTCTGAATAAATTATATCACAACGCATCCAGAGCACTGCAAATTTTATTCAAGTGCTCCATTTGAAGCAGTAGGTTTGCAATGCTTGTTTTTTCTCATTGCAAATTTCTATCTTTAGAATCGAGGCATTTTATTCAGAAACTTTCTAATTTTACTTATTGTGCTTCATATGGTTGCTAGTATGAGAGAAAATATTGTATATTTGACTGGTGTGGGTGTACTACATTTAGCCCTGGTGTCTCTAAATCAGGGGAAGAAACAGCTAGCCAGGCTGTTTCTCCAGAAGTCTACATATTTATATACTGTTAGTATGTTTGTGGGGGCTAGATAAGGATAGGATCAAGCTGGGCTGCCGTACCTTTCATTGATGGAATAGCCGGCCTGCATTCGCTATCTAGGTCACATATGTGTGGTATCTAAGCGCTGTCATCAACTGCAATGCTATACAAAACATTGAATGTTAGGGCAGAAACTTGAGGTTATTCACTTGGAGGTTTGGTAATTTTTGCATTGATGTCACTCCAGTTTTGCAATAACAGTGGAAATTAAGTAATGAGGGATTACTAAAGTGCTTAATGAAAATATATGTGCATTGAAGTATTATGGAAATCATATGAACAATATTTGTGTTAGTTGAATGTAGCATTAAAATATATTAGTTTTAATTCAAAAGTTTTAATGTTTTTTTTAAAAAATCAGATCCATTGTGGGTCGCAGATTTTTCTTCATAGTTGGCACGCTTTACCTGTACAGATGTATTACAATGTATGTTACAACACTTCCAGTGCCTGGCATGCACTTCAACTGTTCTCCAAAGGTAAGTTCTGATCAACATTCTACAACTGAGAACAACTAAATACAAGTTCTTACCTCTTGTAAAGGAATGTGTAGATTGTTATATTGCTAGGTTTAACTGTTTTCACTGTTATAACTAAGCCACAATATTTTAAACATTTTATCACAACTAATGAAAAGGTATCTTCAATAACAACAAGAATCATTGTTGTATTTGATATAGCACCATTTACGTTAAAAGGACATCTCAAGGCACTTTACAAGACATACTGTGAAGTGAATGTGTATTTTGTAGGCAAACACCAAATCTTGAATATTTATAAATAGTATGTACATTGGAATCCATTCAACTTTCTAAAAGAAGATGGAATATTTTAAAACAACTCTGTTAGGGTTCTTCCTGAGTATTTAAAACTAATTTATTCAAACAAGGATGCCCAAATTATTTACTGTGCTTAGGGAGACTGTTGAGATTTATTGCTGCCGGTTTATTTCATGGTGACATTCGACTCAGATTATATCTCCTGTTGATCAGGAAATTATTGTTTTTTATTTCTTCACTCATCTGAGTTAAAGGTGGTGTGTTACTGAATGAAGTCTAAGGAAACATTATTCTTAAGATTTATCCAGGGCTTGGGACGTCAATTTGCTTTTTTTTAAAAAGAGTAAAATAAGGTAGAATTCTAAAAATGTTATGTTAATCAGAGGTGATGAAAATGTGCACATTGACTTTTGTGTATATTAAATATTTTTACTGTTCTATATGTTGAGTACAATGTGGCATGGAGTTATTTAAAGTTTATCTACTTCCAGAAGGGCATAGAATTACCAGTACTCAGTGAAGACTATTCTATAGGGAATTACAGTTTGTTGCCTTGTACCATAGCAACCAATTTGCTGTATACAGTTACTCCATTTTTTTCCCTCTTTAAACACATTAATCTTACAGTGGAATGCATTTACAGGCTTCGTGTAATCTCAAGATTATCTTGGTCATGTGGAAATCCTATAAATATTTGAACTGTATCATGCTGATTCATTTAATCCTAGCAGTCTTGTAGTCATTTACACTCATTGAGTCTCATAGAAATCCATTATTTTAACGTTGCTATTTCAGAGGTTTACCCACTTTTGTTAGACATGGTTACCTGACACTATTTATGCTTTATCGTTGAAGTGCACAAGTACCATGTAAATTGCTGCTTAAGAGACACCATGGGATTATTACCCATCAGAATAATTAATTGATTCCTGTGGAGTATAGTCGCAAATCTGCATGTGATATTTTAAAGTATAAATTGAGTTTGGTTATTTAAAAGTACAGTGTTATGTGTGCATTTAATCAGAAGGTCACACAAAATCTCAAAATCAGGAGTATGCCATGACTTTACAGCAAGGATATTTTCAAAAGTGCTTATCTTGTATTCAGTGAAACGCTTGTGATTTGATTTTGAGTGGTTCTATGTAAAGGCTATTGGGGAATCCATAGCTACAGTTGCTCAAAACATACTGTCACCACACCACTATCTTGCTGAAGAGCAGTGTTCTAATGTTCTAATTATCAGGACATTAACTGAAACAATTTATGAATTGAGCATCTTTGAGGTAATTATTGAAAATTCTAGAAATGGTATGCAATTATATTTCACGTTCTTAAAGCATAAATTAATTATTTTACGAGGGTTTTTTAAATATTAATTTTCAATTTGTGGGCAGGCTGGCTCAAGGAAAGAGGTAACATTTTTATGGCTTGTCATTTTTCCATGCAAGACTTAGGCCATTTAAATTTGGCTCGTAGGGTCAAAGGTGATTTTTAAAAAAAAAATGCATATTTGTTATCAAGGTGAGGAATGTTAGTACAGTATTGGGGAACAAAAACATTTCCATTTTTGATGCCAAGTATCAAAATTGAGCAATCCCTGGTGAATAAAACAGTTAGATGCAGATTAAAGCTTCCTTCTGCTCCACCCAATAATTCGAACCCGGCTTCCGAAGAGCATCGCTAAGTCATCTGGGTGGAGTTTCATTCATGCCCACACCAGCTGTCCCTATTGCCATTTACCTGACTTTACGAGATTCTATTTGATAACAAAATGCTGAAGGCAGAACTTGCATTCTTGCAGATATTTGAAAGGCCACATTGTGCATGGTGGTTTCATTGGCCAATGAATGTGTTGAAGTAATAATTTCTTATTAGCAGACTGTTTGGTTTACCAGAACTGCTTGTGCCCTGAACAGTACAGGTTTAAATGTTTTATGCAGTTTGTGCTTTTCACTGCTATGACATTTTGGTTTTCTGTGCAATTGAAGTGGACATAGAACTCTAAAGAAGCCTTCTGTAAGAATATTAATTTAAATTGTACATATTTAAGATTTTATTATATTTTGAACTTGGTGAATTGTGCATTTTGATTTAAATTTTCTCATTATTTTGCAGCTGTTTGGAGATGTAGAAGCACAGATTAGAAGAATTATGAAGATGATAGCTGGAGGTGGACTGTCAATCACAGGAGCGCACACCATGTGTGGAGATTACCTGTATAGTGGGCACACAGTTATGCTAACCCTCACCTACCTATTTATCAAAGAGTGTAAGTTTTATTCTACAGAAAATTATGTTTGTGATAAATGTAAATTAATGTTTTGCACATTCCACAGTAGACCAAAATAGACCAAACCAGCACAACAGGTCTAAAAGCTGGGATCTCATGTACTTAACAGTTTTGAAGATGTCTTATCAATGAAACAGATTTTCTAATTGGGTGTGGAATAAGTCCTTCAATTTTTAGCTAGTTTACTACCAATTCTCCTTGGTGCATCTTCATTGACGCAAGCACGTCTAGCTGCACATTGACCCAGCGGTGCATTGTTAATCCATCACGTCACCATATAAAATAAAACTAGTCCCTTGGTACACGGCATCACTTATCTGACATTGCTAGTTATAATGGAAATCTACCCTACAGATATGAAATGTCACTTGAGTTACTTCCCAAGCAACAGAGGAACATTTTTTAGGCCCCGGAGAACAATGTGCTGCATTGATCGCTTCTACGTGAAAGAAGCTTTCTTGACGTACTGCCATACTGAATTATTGAGTTAGGGATGAGTAGACCTGTGACAGAACAGTGATGATGCTGTTGCCAATAGATAGTGGTGCTGGTGAATTGTCTTGGTTTATAATATCCAGATATTCCCTCATTTTAACAAGAAATGGAGGGGTTAAGAGTTCAGGGCTTGGGAAGGAAGGGGGTAAGAAAGAGAAGATGGTTCAGAGTATTATGCAAAATAAAAAAAAAATGACCTTTAGATGGGTTTTAAGAGGGAAAATGGGATATAGCAGTAGAAAGAGAGATCTAAATAAACTGTCAAGCCACTAAATAATAATTGGCAACTGGTAACGATAGGCTTTCAAACTGATCCAGTAGATGGATAGCAGCTTGTAGAAATGAACAAGATTACAGGAACTAGCAAGGCGATAATCAGAGGAAATTAAATTTTCCAGAAGTGAATTGGTTAGCTCGGGGACAACGAAAAGGGAGGGGTGAACATAAAAGAATTTTCAGGCATAAACACTGGCTACATCTTGACACATGTGATTTTGTTGTCATGTAGAAATTAAATTTGCCATGGCAGATGCTAAATTAGATTTAGTGCATCAACTGAACAGTGACTTGGAAGTGGGTAAACACTTGGGCTCTAGTGATAGTTCGATTTGATACAATATTAAAAAATAAAATCAAAAGTAATAGTACAGGGTTCCATGGATTTAAGATTATCAGGTTTTGAATCTATGAGAAGTGGAATTAAATGGGAAATTAAAGTAGAAAATAAAACAAAACAATTGAGATATTTAAAACAGATTTAGGGGATTTAGGTGGCAAAAAAAGAGATCAAGCATGGCAAAAAATAATATGTAATTGGGGAAAAGCTTGAGTGATTATATTTAATGCAAATGTATTCATTTAAAGAATACATATGATCTGAAAGAAGTGAACATGGCTTTAAAAGATGTAGTCCATATCTCATGAGTCCAATAGAATTTTTTTAAGGAAGAAATTGAAGGAATGAGTGTTATCTAATATACGTATTTCTGTGGCTTACACATCAAAATTGAGCCAATTAATTTTACCAGGATACAAATATGGATCTCTGATATTTTTATTCGCTTTGTGAAAAGCTGAAATTCATTGAAGTGGATCTATTAGGATTTTATGAACATTAGCAGATTAACAGACTGAATTAAAATCCAAATTACAGATAACCGCCCATTATTGCATGTTTTAAACTGAATTAAAGCCCTTTTGACTGTGATATTGTTATAATGATGGATGTAATGTTACACTGGTGAAAGAATCATAGCGATACAATGGGTGCATTACTGCATGGGTGTGGTAAATTTGTGATGGTACTTATTGTTAGTTATATTTTATGGCAAGGTAAATATGCAGGAGCTGTTAAGCACCACAATAGTCCAAGTATTTAAATTTAGTACAGAGGGGAATTTCTCAATTGATGGTCCTAATTTATGTATGTTTTTCTTTCTCTCAGATTCTCCAAAGCGTTTTTGGTGGTATCCCTGGATCTGTTGGACTCTCAGCATCGTTGGAATTCTCTGTATTCTTCTGGCCCATGACCACTATACTGTGGATGTGTTAGTAGCATATTATATCACGTCCCGACTTTTTTGGTGGTACCATACCATGGCCAATCAGCAAGTAAGTCATGGAATCAGTACACCATCGCTCTCTGTTTGTCTTGTTCAATAGTGTTCGTTTCAACTCTATGTGAAAAAAAATCACAACCAGCGATATAATGGGTCATGTTCGGCAGCTGGCTCTTCAGCGTTCATTGCGCATGCGTGCAGAAAAGTGAAATGTCAGTAAGAGGGTGTTGAAGATGGAGCAGGGGCAGAAAACCTATCAGGTTTTATCTTCCCTAGTCCTGGGAAGCAAGTCCAGCCCAATTTAACCTCCTTGCAGCCATAGTTGAAACCAACAAACTCAATATGGACTGGAATTTGAACCAGTGAGCTCCTGGTCTGTCAGTTCAACTACACTATCGGGGGATGCCCCATAATTTGTTTTTTAAACTAGTAAAAAAAGACACAGCCTCTGGGTAATAGAGAAGCAAAGGTGTAATTTTGAGAGTATGTATAAATGTATGAACTGTTTAACTGGTAATATCGGTTTTAGTGCCTCAATATGTATAGATTATTTTCCTACGTTACAGTGCATTTAATCTATAAACGCTAACACACATAATTATTTCCTATCTTTTAAGGTATTAAAAGAACCCTCCCAGAAAAATTTTCTATCCAGAGTGTGGTGGTACAGATTCTTTCGGTTTTTGGAAAGCAATGTTCAAGGGATTGTACCTCGCTCATATCAATTGCCATTTTTGTGCTCATCGATCTCACAGTTCTTTGGGAGACAAGTTAAATACAGCAGATTAGTGAACGACACATAACAGCAGGCAACATGAAGGGACTGTGCAAGAGTGCTGAAAATAACCCTTGAGCTGATGCCATAGTGAACTTTTTGCTGGTTCATGTCTTGCAACATTTACTTAAGTGTTCCAATTAACTGGTCAGCACTGTGATCTTTCCAAAGGACTAAATAGAACACAAAAGATTGACATGCACTGTATATTTTTTTTTGTTAATTGTCTGTCTGTCTTTGTGTATGCCATAAATACAAAATCACGTTCCATTATATCTGATATTAACTGCATCAGTGGCAATTGTATTTTGTCTGCTAGTGATTTCTTTAGGATATGTGTGCACAATTTTCTGGGAATAAATTGTATTTTTACAATCAGATATTCATCTTTAATAATTGTTGCCCTAAAGACTGGGCTTAAAGCCATTTTCCTAGAAATATTTAGCTATTAAAGGCAGTTGGTGAATGTAAGGATTGGGTTCGATTTGTGAACTTCGTGCATGCTGCAACCAATGTGGCAAAAGACAATTTTAAGTGCAAAAATGTTTTATAGCAATCATTCTTGTTATTTTTGTCAAATGAAAAGTGGCAGTGCAAAAAAAATTCTACTTAGCGTTTTGAAGTGATTTTTCAAGTGATTAAAAAGTATTAAGATATAATGGTGGATTCCAAAACTCGCTCACATTATATAGCAAGAATGAAATCAGCACTGGTTGGAAATTTTGACTGGTATTGTTTGTTTTATAGTGCCTTTTCTTGTCCTGATTGTATGGTCAGTAGCTGGTCTGAGATGCTGTATATGGAAAACTCAAAAACCTAAATGTACGTTACCCAGAAATATTGAGTTAATAATTAACTTTTGCAGCATTGCAAAATGTAAGCTCTACAGTGAGCAATCTGTTTTGTAGTGAATGTTTGTGCATTCTGTATGTCTTAAATACTTTTGAGATATTCGGTGCAAAATAAAATGGTAATGTTCAATTCACTAATTGTGGGCATGTCCTATTAGCTATATTACTGTACAGGTAAATTATTTTATTATATAAATGGGAAGTACTACAGAGCAAATATAAGTGTTGTTTCTCAACTTCCTTTTTATAGATTTTGCATTTTTCTTAAATATCAAGTCATAACGTGAAAGCAAAAAAAAATTGAATTTATGTGCAGTGGCACTGGAAAATTATCCATGTTTCAATGACCCTTTAGTGGGTAAATAATCAACAGAGATACTCTATTTCTATAAATTTTATTATATTTCTGCAAATAATGCATGTAGTCTTTAAATATCACCAAAATCAGATGTCTAGTGAAAAGGAAACCTCTACTTGCCAATGTGAGAAATAAATAGTTTTTTAATCGGAAAAATATGATCTCCATCTGTATTTTATGTGAGAGGAGTTCTTTTCTGTAGTTTTGTGTATACACCAAGGTGATATTTGTATTGTAATATAATTATGGTGAAGGATGGACAATAAAAAGCTTTAAATGTAAATATTTCTTTGATTAGTCTTGCTGCTTAAATTGTCATTTATTTATAAAATAAAGCATTGGTTTTTCAAATGAATTTTTTTTAAAATCTTGACTTAAAATTCAACACACGTTTTTAATTTTTCATTTGTTTTAGCAAATTGGATGAATGTAACAAACAGCATCTCTCTTCATAAATTGCTCCATTCCTGCTGTTCTGTTTGAATATTTCTATTGAGGCTTGATTCCATGTGAAATAAGGAGAGGACAGGAAACCAGCCAGGCCTGACCGCAACTTATTTGATGGGGTTAGCAATGATGCTCTTTTGTCAATGAATAATTGTGAACTTTTTCCAACCATAATAATAATGATCTTTGCATTTGATATAGCACCTTATCACGTCGTCGAGACGTCTCAAAGCGCTTCACAGGATATGTAAGTACAGGATTGACTGTTTTATCATGGGCAAATCGGGGCAGCCATATCCCACAAACAGTCATGGAGTGAGTGACTAATTTTATTTGGGGGATTTCTTGGCCATGATGACACTGGGAAAAACTCCTTTCTTTTTGAATAATGCCGTGGAATCTTTAACATCCACCTGAACAGTCATACAGAACCTGAAGGATGACACCTCTGACAATGCAACGCCCTCCCAGCACTGCTTTGGAGTGAGTGGTACCTTATACTATGCAATTCCAAGTCTTGACCTGGGGCTTGAACCCACATGGCCTCATTCAAATAATCAAGCTTGAACTCACAATCATCAGTATTTTTGGAAGGTTCATTCCTCTGTCCAGTTTACAACATGAACATGTTGAGGGTTTAGTCTCCTCCACCCCATTAATTTGTTATCTTTTTAATAAATATGGTTTATTGGTTATTCACTAAAACCTTTTCTCTGCCCTTTCTGATATAAGGTTGATCTGTACTTGCTACTTTCTGCATTATACCCCTGCTTATCTGAACTCAAATCAAATAATCAATTAATTATATTTTTAACCAAACGTGATTCTTCTCAATTCATTTAATAAAACCCCATGCAAAGAAATATTTGAACATGATTATTCATGTAACTGCTGAAAATCTTTACCTAATTTTGTACTTTGACTTGCTTCTCCCTTAGTTCAACATTTAAGATGAAGTGCTTTTTCTTACGTGTTGAAGATATTTCAACTTCAAGGAAAAACTCGAGGCAAAGCAAAAAAAAACTCCACAGCAATCTTTTTAAATAAACCAACTTGACAAGATAAAAGGTTTTATATAGAGAGAGGGCCAGTCTGCTCACCACAGACAATTGGCAATTGTCTGCTAGCTCAATAAATCAGATGACTTCTCTGACATTGTGGAATCATTACATACTGTTTCACCTTCATCCATGGATGAGTTTGACTTCTAACGCTTTTATCTTATACTTGGGTTTTAGTTGAAATAGTTTAAAACCCCTGCACGACAAGAGACAATTTAGAGATGCAATGAATGTGTCTTAACTAGTTGACTCCGTATGTTATACTTATTTTGATGATTGTTCTCAGTCTCTCAGTTTACCCTGAAGGCATTTTGCATTGTGTCCACTTATCTACACTGTTTACTGATCCGCAAAGGGACCAGTCGCAGTTAGTGTGGAATTTATTTGGCTCTCTGCTGCACTAGATCTGGCTGGTATCCAACGTGGAAATGCAGTATTATTCTTCCACAATTTGGATATCCCTTTAAAAGATTGCAATAAGTTTAAAAAGCAAGTGTCTTCACAACCAAGCATATGATTGCATAGCCTGTCTGGCTATATGCAGTTCATTGTCCTCCATGCCAAATTGCACTTAGTCTTGTCAAAAATGATGACCTGTCATTTTATAGCTAAATCAAAATCTGTCATTTATAGACAAAGCCACTAGGTGTCATTGTTCTCCATAATGGGATGTGTTACTTTAAACTGACTACGCCTTTTGCCCGGTTATAAATTGGATAATCAGACTCCATTTTAAAGGGAAGCAATGTTTAAAAAAACAACTGTTGTGTCTCAGTGAAATAGGGCAAGGCTTCATTACATTTAGTAAAATGTAGCCACTGTGAAAACAAGAACTCAAGAGATTTTATTGGATGAAAATGATATTTTCACTGTTTATTACTGAGTACACAATCTTTTCTTTGATTTGGCAATCCTTGGTGTGTGTCAATTTCTGTTAGTTTGTGTTTGCTGTTTGCCCACGGCCAACTTTTTTCTGCTAACGTGAGGAAATTCGGAATGCAATGATTACACAATTTGGAAGTAAGAAAGACCAGACTGCTCAAGTGAGGTTAAACTGAAAAAAACACATCTTCCACTGTGTTTATACTGCAGGGAGTGAGGCTCCATTATTCCCAGTGGTGTAAAAATATAAAAACAACCGATGTCTCAGCTACTTATCTCAAATGTGTGTTATCATCGTAAACATTTTTGTTGCTGGTCTATGTTTAGCATATGCAGCGTTAATTTGAGACTGTTTATCTGTCATACTATATGAGTGACTCATATTTTCCTATTTTTTAATTTCTAATTGTGTTTCAATTGTGTGTCCACTTACATGTGTTATGTGTATGTAACTCAATCTCCAATTTTACTCTATCTCTTCCCCCATCTCTCTCTTTCTATGAACTTTGCATGAAATACAAGGGACTTACACAGCGACAGTTAATGTTTTGCACAAGTGTATAGAGTTACACCGACAAATCTGTGTAAGATATGAGTATCAACAAGTAAAGCAGAGCATGATTATGTAGTTTGTCACTGAAGGAGGTGAAAAATGCTGTATTTTGTCCTCTTGAAGTTAAAACTTCTGTTTGCTTTTCTCGTATTTGGATAGGTTACAAGAACTCAAATCAAATATGGAATTGTTCTAACATGAGTTTCTTCACAATTACTATTGAGAGAAAAAAAATGTCTTTGTTTTGGCTGCTAAATGACTTGGCTATTATTACTGAGACACATGTTACAGTGTGATCGATCACAGATGTTATGTATTCTTGCCAAGTATCAAATTTCCATTTAAACCAATAATGAAGGATTGAAATGAACTCAAAAAAAGTCAATGACTTTGTTTCACTCTTCAATGTACTATAGTAATTCTGTGGACATTTAAAGCACATTTGAAGCATAATTTACGTTCTCTCAGTAAGAAAAATGCATGGTGCAAAGTTTTGCAGTATACTGTAATTTGCTTTTTTTTAAAAAAAAACTGCTGTAATCTATAGAATTAATGATGCAATTTGGGTAGTTTAGAATTGTATGCCATCTAATTGTTTTTTTTACACACAAAGAAGCTAAAATATTTTATGATAATTACAGTGGGTAAATTAGCTGTTACATGACAATCCCCCATGTGTGTACATACATAAATCATGTATGTTGAAGGTAAATCATTGGCAGTCTGGGATCCTGTAAGTCTGGGATGGATTTGAGTCCCAAGTCCTGGTAACAAAAGGCCAGTGTTACCTATTTTGGCACCCAGTCTTCTATTATGAGTATTTTCATCCCCTCTCAATTACTTGCCTTAAATCGTTCTCTTCACCGAACACAATCTTTCTTGATTTCTTCCAGTGATCGACTGAACTTGTTTTCTCTGACTTTGACTCTCCTATTTCTTCCAAGTTCCTAATAAGCCACCATAAATGCTATTTCAATTCCCTGCTTCTTACATTGACGCATGGTTCCCCGTCTAACTTCTTATTTCCTGGAAGAAATACCTTATTTTCCAAATAATTTCCCTTGTTCTTACTACCTAGACTTTCAAAACTCAAGTTTTTGATTTCCTAATTACAGAGAATGTGTGCATGAACCCAATGCAACACTGACTTTTTTTTATTAGTTTTATTGGTTGAAGCAAATTGACCAGAGATAGGCTTAACGCATGCCAGTGGAATTTTGTACTTTCATTAAGATTGCAATATACTGTATAACACAGAAAAATTGCTGAACAGACTCAATATATTGTCTCATTGTACCAGATCTTATCTGAGGTGCAAAAGAACAAACAAGATAAATTCAATGTCGTGAAAAAAGAAACAATCTCAGGATTTTAGCTTATTATTTGAATTCACATAGTTACAGTATTAAGATGTAAAATACAGTTTAACTTTGTTCTGTTACAGTATTCACATTACAAATTATATAAATGTGTCATAATTCTGAAAAGCTGAAAACTATAGGCTGTAGATAAGAAGTTTCTAATTATAATATTATTACAAAATCTTATCATATTAATCATGGTACAATGTTCAGTCATTTGTTGGAAATATTCAGTAAGTCTCTGTCGGACACAAAGGACTGACTCACAGAAACCTCCGGTTTAAAGTAAATAGGTTAGTTTTAAGGTAAGATTATGACTGATTAACATGAGTTTACTTTAGACATTGCCAATGTGTTGTATTTTGACTTTTAAATAAGTCTCACTAGTTTACTTTGAAGTAATTACAGGGTAACTACTAACACATTAATGGATATTTTAAAATGTACTTAATAATAATTACTTGAATTGCTTTTTTATTAAATGCTTTCTAAATTTATTATAGTTATTGTTTTAGAACAGAGCTTCATTTTGACTTGAGGATTTTCAATTCTCAGTGACACTACAGTATTGTCCATAACATAAAAGATTATAAATCTGTAAGATGACTAGTGTTGTGGTTTTGCATGTGGATTTTCTATATAGCACAGTTTACAGAATGTCATACATTGATTTGTTTTGTCAATTTATAAACCGATTTAAAATAGTTGTTAAATGAGGAGAAGGTGAGGAGAAATCTTTTCACGCATTGAGTTGTTCGGATCTGGAATGATTTGGATAGTTCTTTTCAAAGATCAGTGCACGATGAGCCGAATGGCCTCCTATGCTGTACAAATCTATGATTCTATGATTTCAGTTTTATAATCTGTTTGTGAATAGATTCTATGCTAATGACATAATCTGTTAGAATTGCCAGCCCACTTTCACATTAAGGATTTATTTGGAACCCTCTTGCTTGTTCCCTTAATTCTTGGTTAAAGGTCATTTTAACTTAATTTGAAAGTTTTGATGATCTCTAAGATTGCCAGAAACTTGTTTTCATATTTATTTCATGGGACCCAACAACAGAAAATGTTAATACCTATTAAAAGGCTGTGATGTAGAAAGAAGGATCATAAAAGAAGGTAGTCTGGTTACATTAGCTTACAGTTAGTTTTGTACTCCTCCATTTAGCTGCTCATAGTTCTATTGAATATTATGGCACTTCCTAGGCTTTAATAAGAGATGTTATGAAAGAATACTTCCACACTTTAGAAACAATATCAGTTTATAATTGTGCTATTGTAATCCCTTTGCTGGGGTCTTAACAAAAAACATGTTGTTTCGATCATTGCATCTATCAAATGTTATTTTGACAGGCTTGTTCTGAAAATGGCTCGCAGAACTAGATGTCATTGCACATCTCTGGAGTCTATGCTTATTGTTCTATTTCTCCTGATGACATGTGTGACTGTTGGAATCCTTGCCATTTCCTTTGTCAAAGATCAATCATCATCAAATGAAAATTCAAGTAAGTTGAAAGCATACAGCTGTTATTAGTGTTGTGCACTGTATATTCTTTTGGACAAAAAACATCTAATGAGCAATACATTGGCTGTTTTTATCAATGAAGCCGATAGCCATAAAATGGATGGCCTGTCTTGTCCTTACTAGAAGAGTTCCAAATGTCATTCTGAACTTTGGTAAAATATCTCGGAGTTCCGCTCTCATAACAACAAATTACATTTATATAGCGCCTTTCACATTGGATGGATGTATCAAGATGCCGGACAGTTAAGAGTTTGCAGCTGAATTGGGGTTGGAATCAAGAGGGTAGGAGGAGTGAGGGTGGGAGTGTGACCTAAGGCACGGTCAAAGAGGAAGCTCTTGAATCGTAGATTAAAACTGCAAATTCTGGGAATATTTAAATTATTTAAATCCCAAGAAATACTATTGAGTGAGCTAACAGATCAGTTTCCAGAATAGCAGTTTCAAATGGCTTGTATTTTGTTTCAGATATGGGAAAAGAAACAATTCCAGTATCTTCAAGCCAATATAGGATTGGTGTTGGTCGTGCTGACTGTACTGGGCCAATAGCAGATCTTCCCTTGGTTGGTGAATGATATCTTTTACAAAACGTGTTACTCGTTTATTTTTTAAAATTTGTTTTGTCAATGACATTTCTGTTTATCAGAAGCATGATGAGTTTATTGAACAGACCAAAGCCTGAAGGCTTTGTAAAATAAAAGTGCAGAAATCTATTTTTAATGATCTCGGCTTTACCTCCCTTGTGCCAATAGCAGGGTTGTGTTTACCAGGGCTACACAGTCCTGCTAAAATAATAAAGATTACAAACCATGAAATGGAAGTAGTTATACCTGATGTTTGAAAAGGGACTTTTTCAAGACAAAGTGTAGTGTTGTTTCTTTAATGTTTGCATTGATATTTTAATGACCTCGATTAATTTGTTAATGTAATAGATGTTATAAATATGCTATTACGTATGCTATTAATTAGTGTTTGATTGTGTGTAGATGGGATACGCTAAACCAGGCCAGAATGCTGCAGGGCTCCACACCCGGCTGTACAGCAGAGCTTTTATAGTTGCAGATTCTGATGATTCCAAGAGAGTTGTATTTGTCAGTGCTGACATTGGGATGGTATCTCAGAAACTCAGGTTAAAGGTAAGTCTGGAGCTTAAGGTACCAACTTTCACAGAAAGCAGGTTATGGCTCTTGCCTAGGGCTGCGTTAAAGGAGTGGAATGCTGACCTGAACAAATTGCTTACAGTTATTTGAGAGCCAAGAACTTTTAAACTTCTTTTTAAAGTTTTAAAGTTGGCTCGGAAATGACTAGATTAAAACATTCAGCTGTTCAAATCATGGCTTGGGCTGGGGATAGGGAGTGGGTGATAACACATAACATCCAAAGTCAAAGTTAAACATGAAGGGCCAATCCAAAGCATCTATTAGAGGAAAACAGATAGCTTCAGGCTGGGTTTAAATTGTCCATGGAGTGAAATAGTCAAACATCACCACAGAGAACTGGGAAGAGTAACACTGGTAAATGATCTGGGAGAATGGAAAATATATCACAAAAAATGAGATTCACTAACGTAGCCTATTTACTAAAATAGGAGTGGAAGCATTTATGGAATGAAAGCATTATTTGGTGTGATATAGCACAAATACACTTCTGAAGAGACATGGATAAAGTAAGAAATCTGGGGAATCCCTGGAGATGTATATTTTAGAAGCAAGTCCTTTGCATTTGTCAGTCCATTGGTTAGTGTTTTTAGTGTTGTCGTTTTTCTGAGTCTGGCCTCCTCCTCGTCCCCCGAGTCCTCCGCTCCACCCTCAGCAGCCGTGCCTCAGCCACTATGCCCTGAGGCTCTGGAACTCCCTTCCTCACTCCCTTTGCCTCACTCCCTCCCTTCCCATTTTTAGGTCTCTGCTGAAGACCTTTCTTTTCAACCGCGCCTTGGTAACCTTCCTCCCCCTCCCCCTGGCTCGGTCCTGGGATCTGATACTGTAAAGTGCTCTGAGACGCCGTTCGGCGTGGAGGGCGCTATATAAATCCAAGTTGTTGTTGTTACTGTATTTTAGCTTGTGACAATGGACATGTGGGAGGAGGGAGAAAGAGATAGTATTAAAAAAATCTCGGTTGATGATTTGGGACAATTTATATCAGATCAAAATGAACTTCTGAACATAGAAGTAAGGTTCACTGGCTCATACTCCTAACCTCCTGAGATACCTACAAGCTATAAACATTACTGGTAAAGAGAGACTGCTGTAAACAAGTCAAACTGCATAACACACTTGATTTAACCTTTGTTACATTCTGATAAATTTGGAGATAGAGTGGGATTATTTTCAATGCAAAAATGTATTCAATTCCTTATATATTATGCAATATATAAAGACATTTTCACCAAGCTTGTGTTATGAACAGATACTGAAATTAATTAATTTGAAGATTGATCTTTATCGGCTAGGATACAGGTCCTCTGCCAAGCTGGCTGTATTTTGCGTATCTGTGTCTTATTATAGTTCTTTCAAGCACAAATTTCAATTTATTTTCCATTAAGATTTCATTTTATTCACGAGGTAGATTATGGAACTTATTATTTATGAATAATAAGACTTCTGATTTGTCTTTTAGGTCATGGAAACTCTAAAGACCAAATATGGGAACCTCTACAGACAAGACAATGTTGTTCTGAGTGGTACTCATACCCATTCAGGTCCTGCAGGCTACTTCCAGTACACTCTCTTTATTCTAACAGGCAAAGGCTACATCAAACCATCCATTAATGCTTTAGTTAATGGTATAGTGAAGGTTAGATATTCTCTGCTTTTTATTGCATCATTTAATTTAATTGAACACTACAAATATTTTTAAGCGAATTATAATTAACTGGTAGTATTTTGTGTCTACAATATTATAAGAATTTATCATAAATTTTAATCAGATGTAACAACCATCATAATATTTTAAGAATCAGCAGTAATGGGAAACAACTCTCACAAAATGCATCATTTATCACTAATTTTGGTTAGCTTTATAGCATTATTTGTGGGAAACAGCATAACTTCAGATATCAAATTTTCATCTTTCATAAGTAAAAATAATGAGAATTCTTCATAATGTCCCATTTGTTAGTTATTTTAATTTGGTCTTTTCATACAAAACTATGACAATTCCTGACTGGGAGTATACAGATGACCTATTCCTAGACCTCAACCAATGCCACTTTACTCCCAGTCAGCAGGTGCTGTGTGAGCCATGTGGGCTTTGATTTAACTATGGGGAAGATCAACAGTTCAATTCAATATCTCCTGCTCGTGGCCTTGCTGAAATCTACAACTCACATGGTGGGATCACATATTATATATGGATCCTCCTCAGCCCTGATAAATAAAATATAATTTCCTTGATTTTTTCTTATGACCTCAGACAATTACAATTGTGTAATCTTGATCTCTGCTTGACAGTAATTACTTGAGGTATTTTAGATGATAACATTTTTCCTTCTTAGACTTCTTTATTCCACTACTCAATATATTTTACTGAAGTATTTTCCTTACAGAGCATTGATATTGCCCACAAAAACATGAAACCAGGAAGAATATTTATCAACAAGGGAGCAGTGGATGGGAGTAATATAAACAGAAGTCCCTTTTCCTATATGAACAATCCAGAGGCAGAAAGAAAGAGGTACCCAGTCAGTATAGCAGTCATAAGAAATTCAAGTCTAAGGTACAATCAGTTAGTGATTGATAGTTCCATCAAAGGGCAGAATAAAAGTTATACCAATACTGTCAACAAAGCCATTGTACCTAGTGTTGAAAAATGGGGACATGATTGAGACAGTTTTCTCCGAATTCATAAGTATTCATGTTTTTTTAGCAAGTCAGCTTTACATATTTAGACATGTAATATCAACACAGATAAAAGGATTCAAATCTATGAGTTCAGTGTTCCCTTTAATTCGCAATTATTAAACTTCCATGAGCACCTTTTTATAATTCACAAAAGCAGCACAGCTCCACCTAGTAAACTGAATAATCTTTTGCACAAAAGTATAATTAACATTAATATTTCTGCTATCCTAAAATTAAGCCTCATTTATTTAAATTATCTTTCCAAATTTGCAAACCTTCCATGCTACATTGTTTTTTGTGAAAATATTCTATTCCAGAAAATAGAAAGGAATAAAATTTCTTCTTTGTTCAGTTCTTTTATACATGAGGTGACATAATAACAGGGTGCAGCTAAAGAGAATTGCAACAAATCCAGCTGCTTCATCAGGTTGACCCCAATTGTTCCTGTAATCAAGGAAATATATGAAGAATTTGTACCGAGGCATTAACAAGCAAAAAAAACTGTTCTCATCACATGATGGCTATCAATGATAGTTACTTACATATTTCTATATAGCTCAGACTCAGAACAAAATAGCTTTTTTTTGAACAAGTATACAAAGTTGAAGAAATTATACTGTGCAATCATTCACTTAAATATGCAATCCTGTGATTGATATAGGTATAAATCAGATACAGACAAAAAACTAGTTCTACTGAAGATGGTGGATATGGATGGTCATGGGCTCGGAGCTCTCAGGTACAGCGATAAACTAATATATTAAGAGTTTGGTCAGTAGAGTTGAAATATGTTAACAGTTAAAGACTTGCATGAAATTTGCATCATGTTTTAGATTTTTTTCAAATTCCAATGGACTAGAAAAGTCTAAGCTAATGGTAATTATCATATTGATTGATGAATATTCATTAATTCAATTAGCTTTCGGAGAATGTATTGATATATGTTGATTCCTGTAGCCTTTTTTTTTACATTGGTGTGATCCCATGTTATTCTGTCCTGTTTGTTTGTCTGCAGCTGGTTTGCTGTCCACCCTGTCAGCATGAACAACACTAACCTCCTGGTTAGTAGTGACAATATGGGACACGCATCATATCTGTTCGAGCAGGAGAAGAACATGGGCTCACTGCCAGGGCAGGTTAGAATTACAAAATCATGCTCTTGATATACTGTGCTCTATAATGAAAGTATCTTCCTGGAAATCCAGTACTTATGTGTCCAACTTTAAACACGTTCTTAAACTTAGGAATATTGTAGCCTGAGCCTGAGTCTAACACTTACAAACACTTTTTACTCACTTGTTTACCTAGTTTGAAACTACAAAATGATGACCTGGTCTAACATCTCTGAGATTACTCTATGGTAGTAACCCTTTCTGGGCCAACCAATGAGTATATAAAGAGAGCCCTGACTATTAATGATGCTGGCTTGGTGACCCTCAGTGGTTTCAATGCTTGAGAGTACATTATTCTAGTAATAATGGAGGTCATTCTTGCTGATGGGAAAGTTGAAAGAAGTTGTCTTTCAGCCTCTGATGAACACGGCTACGTGAGATAACTACATAATTCAGAGGAATTTAACAGACTTCCTCAAAATTGATGAATGGAATGGCCTCCCATTCTCTCCTTGTTAAACAAGAATGGATCTGATGTGGAGCTAAGCAGAGCTCCATTTACCCGTTTGCTTGATGTGTATTGAGTCCACACCTCGTTCATTGGATCACAAAGGCTATAACAAACACCGTGGAGATTTGTCCTTCATTTTGATTCTCCGTCTGCAGTCCGCAATGTATATGTGGTTTGTAAATGTGATCCTTCCCTCCTATAACTCATAATAAATTATTGACAAAACTATAAATTATGTACATGTTATTCATGTTCCTCAATGAATAATTTAGTTTTTATAAATAGCGGTTCTTTAAATATACAATGTTTTTTCACAAACACAGTTTTCATCCCTGTCAATCACAGGACAACAATTCACTTTGTCATATGAGTAGTCTCTATGAGCTAAATAACTATAGAGACTTGTTTTTCCAACTACAGGGACCGTTTGTAGCAGCCTTCGCTTCCACCAACCTCGGTGATGTATCATCTAATACTCGGGGCCCTCACTGTGTAAACACGGGGGAATCGTGTAATAATCCTGACAGTACCTGTCCTGTTGGAGGGGTAAGTATCTCTGAGCATCAACAACAATTGATCAGTTAGATTATGGATCAGAGCTCAATAAATAACTGAAAACGATTAAACTACAGTCGACAGCAAGGGCACCCGAGTGACATTGCAGCTGTGCAATCTGTACTGAAAATATTCATCGGTGGAAAGAGCTCTATTAGTTTTGACCAATTTCTTCTGATAAAGTTATACCAGGTATAATAAAAACGATAGGACTTGCAACAACTTTTAGCATTATTTCACAGCCTTCAGATGCCAATTCACTTTGTTTGACATGAAAGGCACTAATCACTCATTCTTTCTATTGGATTCTAAATATCTTTAAACCTGGTCCAATTACTGGATTACTGAACAGTAATTCAGTGCATTGTGGCAGGTTACTGTTTATATGTCTCTCACGCAAACAAATGATAACATATACAGTACACAATACCTTGTAAAATATGAATACTGTATTATGATATACTATTACTAAAATTCAAACTGAGCTTCTTCTAAATTGTTGTGCAATATAAACCTTGCAGGAAATGAACACATGAAAATGTATTATAATACAAATATTATGTGCACCATTGAACTGATTCCTAAGGGGATTTCCTAATATAGCAATGTCAATGTCAATTTACTTTTAACCTGAGTGTTTTCATTAAATCCTTAGGTTCTTTTGCCCTCCTACACAGTAATATCATCTCATAATCAGTCAAATAATAATAAGAAATTATCACTATTTTGAAACGTATATGCTTGTTTATATAGTATTTCATAAAAGAATAAATATAAGAATAACTTTGGTATGTGCTAATGGCCATGGTTTGTGATGATGTCGTGCATTGATCTTTCTAAAATGTTGCAGGCTTCAATGTGCATGTCTTCAGGGCCTGGGAAAGACATGTTTGAAAGCACTGCGATTATTGGGCAGAATATCTTCAATAAAGCAAAGGTAAAAGAAAATCTGTGTAATTTAGCATTCTTTCAGCTAAATGTAGTTATTTTTAGGCTCCTCTTGCTCGCCTTGGATCTCTCTACGCACCATTTCTAAGGCTCCAGCCATGTTTCAATTAATTTTTTTCTCAATTCTTTGTGTTTTGGCATATTAAACAAATTGCTTATCAATGGAAATATATTTGCTTTGGATTGTGGAACCTCGCAAAAAACGACAAATAACAATGTTACTGATTTTTATTAAAGGCGTTATTTAACTGTTTGAAACCCTGTATACAGTGCAGCCATGTTATAACATACTTCTTTATTTTCAGGAATTGTCCAGAACAGCAACCAGGGAGATAAAAGGTCCAATCAACTTTGCACATAAGTGGGTTAACATGACAGATGTTACCGTCCAATTAAACTCAACACACACAGTGAGTGTTTACACTTGGATGCTTTTATTGTGTGGTATTACAAATTTTAGTTAAGAGACACTTGCAATACGATTTAATGATCACTCTCTCTTCCTTATTCAACCAAAACCTTCAAAGCCAAAAATTAGTTCATCATCTTATTGTGGGACACTGCTGGCACAGATTACCTGCTACATTTGTTTGCATAACAGTAATCACTGCATTTATAATAACTCATTGTGTGAAGGGCCTTTGATTTGTTTCAATGTGATAGGAATGGAATACTGTAATATTAATATAAATGTAAAACCTACAAATAGATTTTAATTAACCCCATTCAGGTCTATCCAATCTCCTGTGGAGTAACATCAATATGACTATAGTACTTATACTGTAACAGTCTATAAAAACAGACACCAAAACTTAATGTTTCATCTTTAGAGTGTGTTACTATTTGTAGACCAAGGAATAATGCGGTTTTAAATTACATCTTATTCATTACTTTATTAATAATAATCCTTGCATTTGATATAGCTTCTTTCATATCAGAAGGACATCTCAAAGCACTTCACAAGATTTACTGTAAAGTTTATTAGCTGTATTTTGTAGGTGAAGGTGACTGCCAATTTGCACACAGTATTGTTCTGCAAACAGCAATGAAGTGAATGATAAATTTTATCTGGGGATTATTAGCCAGGAAACTGGAAGAAATTCCCTTCTCTTTTCAAATAGTGCCATGGGATCTTTAACATCCACCTGAATAGGCAGGAGGGACCTTGGTGTCATCTGTAGGACAACAATGCAGAGCTCCTGCAGCACTGCATTGGAGTGTCAGCCTAAACTATATTAATTTAAAGTTCCGAAATGGGTCTTGAACCTACAACCTTCAGCTCAGAGGCAAAAGACCTACCAAATGAGCCAAACTAACACGCAAGAGATTACAGTATCTTTTGGGCCCTGGGGACGTAAGTGGATATCTTTTTCTCCAAACATTAGACTATATACTCTGAAAATGAGTTTACTATTTAGAGGTTGGTATTCTGGAAGGGTAAGGTTAAAGATCCTCCTTAATCTGAACCTCTCCCGTGTTCCAAATTGCAGGGTAGGACATGCAAGCCTGCCCTTGGGCACAGTTTTGCTGCTGGTACAACAGATGGAGTGGGAGCCTTTAACTTTACACAAGGTAAGTCTGTCACTGAAGTGATAACTGTGCTTCCTTTCAAAATAGAAAAACAAATCTGTGTTTCTGCAGCCCTCCTCCTCCTTACCCCAACGTTTTATTTATTCAATACTTTGCCAAATTTGCAACAATATTAAACGTGTCTTCATCAGAGGCTAAAGGTATTGTTTTGTACTGAATTGACTTAATGTGTTGTAGGAGCTGTGGAAGGAGACCCATTTTGGGATGCTATTCGTGACATGTTGTTAGGAAAACCGTCTAGTGAAATCCAGGAATGCCAACATCCCAAACCAATCCTTTTCAGCACTGGGGAAGTATGTTGGTATTTTTTTCATTTACTAGACTGCATACTCTGAAAATCAGTTAATAATGTAGGGCTTGGTGTTCTGAAAGGATGATGTTTAAAAAGCCTTCTTAATCTAAACCTCTCTTGTGATATTTTATTACGCTGAAGAGAAGACAATGCATCCAAAACCAGCAACCCCTAAAAGAATAGTTTGAACAAAAGTGCTTTGTATCTGTACTTTGGCATCATTAATGATATCACATTCCTTAAAGCTGTGGAGATAGATGTCTTATTCTGGACTTTGTAATCCTAAATCTTATACTAATCAAAATGCTTACTTGCCGCAAGAAATGTTGCATGCAACTGTTTCCTGTAGGATATGTTACTGTACCAGGCAAGAGAAAGCAGGTCTCAAGTATCGTAATAATGCAAAAATTCTTCACACGGGATATATTAGACATTTATAAATATATGTTCCTGTATATCCAGTATACAAAAATATACTCAGAGTCTTTTAGTGCAATTTTTAGAAGCAATGATAATGGTGCAATGGGATCATTACTTCAAATTCTGTATCTTCTTAAAAAATTCCAGTCATTTTATCCCAGGCTATCCTAATCATCAAACTTGGCAGAACCCGTTCTGACGAAGGGCTGTAGACCCAAAACATTGGCTCACTTTCCTTTCTCCATAGATGCTGCCTGACCTGCTGAGTGTTCCCAGCGACTTGTATTTTTGTTATCAGATTTCCAGCATCTGCAGTATTTTGTGCAATGATTATTTGAGTTCAGTTGTTCTCTAATGTTGAATTATTCTTCTCAGAATTATTTTATTTGGCATTATTGTTTGTCCATTCCTGTTTAAAACATTAGAGAGGATTTCTAACTTAGTATTCATCCATTACAGAATTTCATTATCTTTTCAGATGACGAAACCCCTTCCTTGGCATCCTGAAATTGTGGATGTACAAATTCTTACCATTGGGACATTGGCAATTGCAGCCGTTCCAGGAGAATTCACGTAGGTGCTTGCAAAATGTTTATGGAACCACAAAAGAACAAGATTATATTATCAGCTGTAATTTAATTATTTATGAGAGCATTCTACTCCACTTACTGTTGTAATACTGACCTATTCTGCAGTGTGTGGAAATTTACAATATAGGGTTACAATCAATCTCACAATCTCTCCTTGCACAAGAGACTAATTTATTCAATGTTCTGTATAAGACAAATTATCATTGTTCACAAATTAACAATAAGTGGTGGAATATCATTTACATGAGACGTCTCGAAGACGTGATAAGATGCTACATTAATGCAAGGATTATTATTATTACATACTGAGTAGCTTTTATTAGCTATCAAGAAAACCAAATATGTTTTGATTGTTTGAACATTTAGGTTTAAAATCTTTACTACAGCTCTAAAGCCTCTAAATTTTCCTCCTGATTTTCTTTTCCCAGTACTATGTCAGGACGAAGACTAAGAGAAGCTGTCAAGAATGTGAGTTTTGAAATTTTATGATTTCATAGATTTAAACTATGTATCCAAGGAGTTAGAGCTCTCAGATAATGCTGCTCACGGAAATGTTTAATAATACAGGTACTCAGTTTCGAAACACCCAGGAATCGATACATAAAAACAAACCAGCAAAGATAATTGTAGACTCAAAGGTTTAATGGAAGTTCCCAGTCCAGTACTTTTGTATTACACAATCTATTGCATTAGTTGACTCAGCATTTCCAACAATGCTTTTCTTTCTCTTCTGCATTAGGAACTTGAATCCACTGGGCTTTTGAAGGAGGTTGATGTCGTTGTTGCAGGATTGAGTAATGCTTACACGCATTATATTACTACGTATGAAGAATATCAAGTAATTAAACAGTTTATGCTTTTTTCATAGGATTCTTGTAGAGGTATAATTCATATCTACAGAGCTGCTAATGTCACGAGTAGGCTGAGATTCACACTGGAAAATAATCAGTGGAACATGCATTGAGAGCATAAACTTATCTTCAAACATATCTTTTATTCTTGCTGGTCATTTTAAGAATGCTGCTTCATTTTAATACGTATTACTTATTAATAATATTGTTAGCATTGTTTCTTGTGAGTTGATTCACAAATGCATTGCAAACTGTTGACTGTTTTTTTGAATTTCTATTTAGAACAAGATGTTCGGTCAATGGCATTTATGTTCCTACTGCAGACTAAATTACATGTTTTAATTATATGTTTTAACTAAAATGTAATACATTTTTAAAATTAGATGATCAGATCATTAACTGTTATTTTTTTCTCAAATAGATTCAACGCTATGAGGCAGCATCAACAATATATGGTCCTCACACTCTCTCAGCCTACATACAGGAGTTTAGAAGTCTAGCTAAGGCCATTGCAGAGGTGAGTTTAGACATTTTGGTTCTTTCATTTGTAAAGCTGGTTAGAAAACCTCAAAATAAATCCACAGTGGCATAAAGCTAGCAGCCAGTACTTAGGGACAACACAGATAACATAGGATTGGGGTAGGCCACTCGGCCCATTGAGCTTGTGAAGATCATGGCCGATCCACAACTCAGGATTTAGTAGGTCAATTTTACAACAATGGGATTTCTTTCAATAATTTATATTTCCCTATTATGCATATATAATCATACTAACATTAAACTTTGCTTTGATCTGCCTTATGGTTTCATAATAAATTATTAGATTTTAGCTAAAACACTGGAGCCTTGTTACAACATTGCTTCATTATAACATGAATTTGATTGTAAAGTAGCTGCACTGTTCACTGTATTATTTTTAGTGACTCCCCGACCTAGACTTATTCCCCACAAGGTTATGATTAATCTGTTCCTAATTCACAGATGGCACAATTAATACTCTCACTTTTTCAGGCGTTATACATTATGACCAGAAGGTGCAATGTATTAGTTAAGGGAAATATATAAGCTTCATTCAGGGGTTATATAAGTCCTGTCTGGCAGTCCTACATTAACCATTTGTTGTGCGTTTTGAGCAAGAAGTACATTTGATTTTGATTATTTTCTCTTTTGTGAAATGAACCTGATGAATGTTGTTTAATCACTTTGATTAAAATACATCAATGTTTTATCAAACTTTACAAGATAGTTCCAGAACTGCTGCCTCTTAATTTATTCCACTTAATATTTTACACAGAAGCTAAATAAATAGAATTAGATTTATTCTTAAAAGAGACTGGATTTCAAACTATTTCTTCTTGTAACCCATCACTCTTTATTGATGTTCTAGAATACTGTTGACCAGTTGCCTAAAGGTCCTGAACCACCCAATTTTCCTGACAAGAATCTGATCTCATTGCTGCCCAATAATCCTGTTGATAAGAAACCAATCAACACAACATTTGGTGATACGATAGTGGATGTACAAGGAACATACAGACCGGTAAGCGAAGCATGTTATTCACATATTCTGCTTCATAGATCTCATCTTCTTTACGTTCTTTTAAATTTGTAAATCTAACCGTCACTATTTATAATAATTGTATAAATCCTCCTCTCTTAAGTTTCCCTCTGATATTCTCTGCCTAACTCTCCTTTCTTGAAGACAAAGGCTCAAGTTCTATGAGGACAGCTGTCTCATCAAAGTAGCCATTCTTCACATCTAAGTTTGAAAGCGAACGTTGGTGTACTATTTTAATGTTGGGCTAAACTCACCAATGAGCTTGACTCTTTGCCCATATGACAGCCACACATGCAAACTTCCCGCAGGGTCATTAGGTGAAGGTCTCTTGGTGAAAATGTTTCCCTTGTCTTGACCAATGACTGAGAACAATGTGCTATAGCACCCTCACCTGGCTATGGTTTGCTAATTCAGTGCAGAGAAGGCTTTGGAGATGGACTGTAATGCTCAGCTACTTACCTCTTCACCAATGAAACTTTGGGTGAGCAGTTCTTTTTCCCCAAGAGATGATTTAATGAGTGGGTTATAGGGGAGGGTAGACTACATCATTCAAAATACTTCTTACCCTATGCAGCCAAACCAAAGATCACTTTTCGATCAGTTATTAAAAATAATACGTTATGCAGCATCCCAAGGCAGTCCAGCAGTTTAGGCTTAAGATTCCAGGCTAGCATTCTGCTTATAATTCATATAAGCTTGATGGTTTGGGTGTTCCTTTTATAGGCATGTGGTTCATTGTCCTTGAGTCTTTTGAAGATAAGATCTCTTAATTGGCTGCTTATGCCTACATAGAATGTCTACTTTATTGCTTTTTGGTAATTAAAAAGATATTTGTGCTGTAGTCTTTGACCCGAATTACATAAGTGCTCCAAGTAACATGATTAAATTCTGTTGATAAAATATTTTGCTCATTTAAAATTTTTACGAAGATGTTTAGAATTTTAAAAAATTGAATAAGATTAATGCCAGAAAGAGGAACAGAAAAGATATAGATATGGACATGCAGACCAATAAGGCTAAATAAGGAGAAAGGAAATACAAAGCAATATGAATGCTTAAACACATTGAAGATTTTAGTATGAAGCAATTCTGTGGATCAAGTCTCATTTAATAGATACTTATATTATTACAAACAATAACACGACTAAATACATGTACACTTCTAATAGGCATCAGGCAATTCAGAAGCAAAGTATAAGTACTTGCCAAAACTAGACATGACCTAAATGAAGCTCCTTATGAGTCATTTAACTGACATCCCATCTGCCTGTTCAGATGGAAGTTAAAGTTAAAGATCATACGGCACTATTCAAAGGTTTCCACTAGTGTTCTGGCCAATGAACCTCCAGCTAAATTGGTTCCTGTCTATTCTTGGAATATTGCTTTGTGGGAATTAACTGCTGTGTTCCCCTCCAAGTAAACAGAAACTACACTTGACATTACCTGCAAAGTGCTTTGCTTGCGTTTTGACATAATTAGACACTATATCAAAGATAAGGATTATATTATTCTTGACAAATAGTACTTCGTACATAAATTTAGAGGTAATATTTCCAGATATTGCTCATACAGATAAGCTCCAGGTCAAGATAATCGAAGGAGTCATTCAGTGACCGCTATTCAGCCAGTTTCCATGTGATTGATATGGATAGTAATGTGTTCTTCCACTAAGTTCATTTTTACTGCTTCATTCACAACAATCTTTCCCACCTCATCAGATGTCATGAAATATAAATTTTGCTGCAATTTCTCTAGCAGATATAAAGACTTTAATGTATTGCAGACACAGTACCTATGATTATGCTGTGGCTGCATTAAATGAACTGTTTCTATCATATGAATTTACAATTACTTAAACAGCCCTGTTCTTTTGCTTCAGGATGCAGTTATGTTTCATTGATCAAGTAGAGGTATTTTAAGTGTGCTTTTAGATTAGCAAACATAGAATCAATATAGAGTAGTAATTTAGTTTACTATATTGTAATACTGTAGTTTAGTTTAATGTGGATCACTCTATGAATTGGCTGAACATGTTCTTCCAGCTGATTGTTAAAATCTTTTACACTTCATGGTGCCAGTAAGACCATTGAATTTATTTGTAAAGTATTATTCTTGACAAACATAAAACAGATCTGGCCAAGTAGTGAATTAATAATATAATCCTTTTTTCAGGGAGATGTTGCAGAAGTGACATTTGTGAGTGGAAATCCCAGGAATTCCGTTACTTATATGGTGAGTCACTTATGAATTTTTCCCATTGTCCTGGCCAACAATCCACCAGATAAAACTGGTCATTCACTTCATGACTGTTGTGAATCATTGCTGTGAAAAAATTGGCTGTTGTGTTTCCCTACAAAGTACACAGCCAGTGTGTTCTACAAAAAACATTGTAATATGCTTGAGAAACTTTGCATTATAAAAGTTATACTAAATGCAAGGATTATTATTCAGATACTTGCAAGGTTGGGAATATTAATGATTTCTTGAAATAAATATCAGTTTTAGGATAGAATCATAGACTTTTTCAATGGGCAAAGACTCCATCTGGGCCATGTGGTTCTTTCTAAGAGCAATTTGATCAGTTCCACTACCTGCCTTTCTCCAATCCCTTTTATATTTCTCCTTTTGGATTTTTCTTTAACCACTGTTTTTGATACAGCATCCCATATCCTAATAAGAATTTGTATAAAATGGTTTTCTTTTACCTTGCAATATAGATAGGTCTGCACAAAATTAGAGGTGGAAGCACAAAACCAACCATAGATAATTTTTTTCTGATTCAACCCTCTCTCTCTTCTCTCATGCTTACCTTAACCTTGATCATTTGCAGTAGTTATCTTTATTTGTTGGAGCAGGTGTGTGTTTTCCCGGTACACCAGCAAGTAACATTTAAACAAGGTGATGTGAGTTTAGACAGATGAAAATGTCTGTGGACGGTGAGGCCTTGTACATTTCTACTCTAGTGACTGAACAGAAAATCAATTAAAAATATCAGTCTTTAATCAATAAAGTCTTGATTCAAAATCTTTACTGTTCTGGTTGCTTTATTCTTTTCTATTTCTGGGCACAATTTGCAAGAGAGTCTATTGTGGCTGATACTCTGCAATTCCAGGTGGTTTCTGATCTCAATTTTGACTTCTGTGAAGTCAGTGTCTAAGATTTGCTATTTACACATCCATTGGGGAATGTTGCCAATTAGCCACCAATGTCAATCTGGATTTTTTTGCAAGATTGAAAATGCACAAAAATTATATTTCTACATTCTTGCCTCAAACTCTGGATTAATAGAATCAATTTGCTCTGTGACTATGGAAGTACTGAGTGAATTACTAAGGCTAGTTAGTAATTCAAATTCAAAGTAGTTCAAAATAGAAAGGTGATCACAGGCAAGGTGATTAAGCGCTCCGAGACTCCGTCCAGCGTAAAGGTTGCTATATAAATTAAGTTGTTTTACACTCTCATAAACCTTTCAGTGTTTGTGACTGGAGTCATTAGAAACCAATTTTTAAATTGATAAATATGAATGAAATAAATAATCTTGTATGGTAAATATAAATAATAAAACACCAATACTAGATTTATTGCAGCATGCATTGCTGAGATTTTGTTAATAAAATTGTAACTCCCCATGATGTTTAATAGTTTAAAATTGCTCTATAACTTTGAGTTATTTTCATATTGTGGAACAATGGATCTGTTTTCAGGCTGATGGAACATTTCTAACAGTAGAAAAATACAACAGTACTACTGGCAACTGGAATACAATGTTCAATGATGCTTCTTGGGAGACAAGGTAAGTTTCTTGTTTATTAGTTACAGCAAGACTGTAATTAAAGTTAAACCTTTACAAGGCACTTTTCTTAAATTGCCTGGTGGTTCACAAAAGTTCAATATGCTTTATTTAGTGGGTTAGTTTGAATTTTTTTTGATGACATTGATACTGTGTATTAAATTGCCCCCCCAAAAATCAAAAGGTTAACTGTAACAGTTCTGTGAATGATTACTTACAGGTAGTGTAAATTAAGGAAGGCAGTACGGTTTTCATTGAGCTTTCACTTATCATGAGAAGGAGTACCTTGCTAATGTGTGATGCACCATATAGAGTCCTGGCATAAAACTGACCTAATATAAAACTGGCTGAATAAATTCAGCTGAATTGCAGCTCTCGGGAAAAAAATCATGAGCTGGGTTGGAGGGAGGTGCTTCAAGCTATTTGCAGTTTGGACTTTCAAGGGCAATTTGAGATTACTTTAGTAAAGAGAAAGGTGATCACGTGCAATGTTATTCTATGTTTCTGTTCAGCTCAATCAAGTTACACTATGAGAAATGACTTATTTCATTAAACAAATCCTTTCTATTTGCATTGGGAAAATAACATTCTAAGTCCAGGGAGGCTTATAGTTGTGGAATATTTAAGTGCATAGTATTTTTGCAGGAGTGTTCAAATCCAGAGTTACCGCAGTTAACAGTTAACAATAAAACAACACATTGTATTTATATAGCATCTTCTTGTTGGAAGGATGTCCCATGGAGCTCAGTTAAGTATTTGTAGAGATAATAATAGGAGACTTCGTATGTATGAATAGCTCATATAAGTTCATTTGTATTTTCAATTGCACAGATAAATGTGCATGTGACTGCAGAATAGTCAGAGAAAATGGTGTTGAGTCACAGCTATTTTAGTCTCGGGGTTCTACTGGTTCCTATGTTACTTATGAATGTAAAGCTTTACAATTCACATACTCAACCTTACTCCACTTCTGAAAATATAGGGCTGCCTTAGGAAACATGCAAAATGTGTGTTAAGAATCAGTCACTTTTTTATTAATGCAATCTGCAATCGCCCGGTTGTTGTACATGGCAGAATTCATACCAAATTGGAGAGATATGACTGGAGGGAGGAGTTGTCACACCTCTCTAACATTAAACATAGAACAACAACAACAAAATTATATTTATAGAGTGCCTTTCATGTCGGGAGGACATCCCAAGGCGCTGGACAGTCAGGGGTCAGGACCCGAGCGTGGGGTAGGGGTGAGGGAAGGCAGAGAGGTGGGAGGGCGACCGAAGGCATGATCGAAGAGGTGGGTCTTGAGACTGGCCTTGAAGGAGGCAAGTGAGGAAGCGAGGTGAAGGGACCACGGGATGGCGTTCTAGAGTGTGGGGGCAGAGTGGCTAAAAGCTCGGCCACCGATGATAGGGTGGGTCGGGCGGGAGACATAGAGCAGGCCAGAGCCCGCTGAACGGAGGGAACGGAAGAAGAAATTCTAATGCTTCAAGCAAACCACCATAATAATTTCAAGAACGCAAAAACATCCGTTGCTAAACATCTGCGTTTTGGATCGTTCCACAATGTGCACATAGATACAAACAACAAGTTTGAAATACTACTTTTCAGTCCTGTAAAATTCTTTCCAGACAGTTTTGTCATCTGGAAATCTGTTCTCTGCATTTAGAAGGTCAAGTGCAGAGTAAATCATCACTGTTGAACCAAGTATTTATCAGTGGGAGATCTGTGACTTGACTGTGGTTACACCAGGCAATTTTCTTCCGATTGTTTCTGTCTTCACGGTTAGTACTAGGGTCAAAATGACAAGACATCTGCATTTTTTTGGGGCTGCTTTCTGATGTCTCCAAGTTGCTTCTCAGTCAAACCAGCAGAGGGAGCACTGTACAGAGCAAAATGTTTCATGTCTGTGTTATACATTTTATTTATTAAGATCATTTCTCAAGAGGCCAAACACATGGTAGACTGTGTGACACGTTTGAATTTGGGTAAAACAGAACAAACAGAGCTGTTGCTATAATAATGACAGCCAGAAACTGTAAGCCTTTTACTTATATCAGTTTTTATATGAAGCCTGACCTTTTTAAAAAAAACAAATCTCCAAAATTGCTATCAGTGCATGCAATGAAACTTCCCTTTATTTGTGCAAAATGTCCTTTTCCACTGTATTCCAGATAGTTTATATCCACTCATTTCCTTTCCAAGCAAAACGTTTAAAATTTGAACCATGTGGCAGAAAACCGTGGATACAGTAACAAAATGCACCCTGGGCTTACAACAGAAGAATGATATTCAAATGCAATTTCAATTTGATTATACTCTTTCAACCAAGTTTCAACCAAACAGTAGTTACAGTCATATGTGATTTTGAAATCAGCAAGTTGGTTAGTCTGTGACCTGATTAGAAGGCTGACATCTAGCTATGTAGCTGAGGCAAAACCTGGCTGTAATCTCTTGGGTAGCAGACTGGTTCTCTGACTGGCTACAGGACCACCCCCTAATTAGGATGGTTTGTGCTCTGTGATAAAATGAACTGGACTCTGAAGCTGGCTTGTGTATAACTGAACTGAAATGTTTTGATGTATCCTTACCCCAGTGGAAGAAAAAGGATTATGGAAAATTTCTGGGAAAGGATCATTACAAGCTTCAGCTTCAGGCTGTAATGATGATTTTGGATTATAGTTACCAATCTCCCTCTGTCCCCGAGCTGGTGATGACTCTTTAAACTTTGGATGCACTCTGAGAGTTCACAGATCTGAGATACAATCCATAAATTACAGAATCTATTAACAAAGCCAGTGAAGTAAAATATAAGCCATGTCTCCCAGGACACGTTTTATTAATGTGTTTGTTGAACCTGTGAAGATTCAAAACAAATTACACTCTGTGCTAAATTTGTTAAGCCGCCTGTTCAATGTTGACACCCAACGCATGTCAACTTGCAAATTCTTTTGAAAACAACTTGAATGGAAAATGGAATTCCAAACAAATATATTTCATTGATATATTTTAAACATAGAACACAGCACTGCACCCATACTCTCTTGACGAGCCATCCCCTAGTTTCTAGATCTGAACAGACATATTTTAAATTCAATCTGCTCAATTCAGTGCTTTTACAGCAGTTTAGTCTGGGATACTATCCAGTGCTTCACCCTAGGAGAGGTCAATCCGCTGTACCAAGTAATTCTGACCCCCAATATGATTCATTATTACAGTATATGCTAATGATCCTGCCAACAAGACCAGTTATTACCTTTGACTTATGCGCAAATTAATATTGGTACGACGTTAAGATGCAAAATAAATATTCCAAAAACTATCTGCAGTAAAACAAACAGATGTGACATACTCCAGAAGGAAGAGTGGTTGACAAGGCTGGTATATGTTGGTGAATCAATAGTGGCTTCTTACATACTTTGGCAGTTGCTTAGCCCTACCACTTACTAGATGCTGAACTGATTTCATTGATTTTATACTTTAAGCCATTCAAAAGAATACTGCTGACAGTTTGTGCTATTAACTCAATCCAGTTTGCTCTCTGATTAGACATCATAGATACCGAAACATTAGAAGTGAAGTGTATTTAGTGTTTTATTCTTTGCACTTTTGTTTGAATTGCTTGAATTCTTCCTGTATCTTTTTGAGTTGTCAAGGTATATCAATGATACCTCAATTATCGTGTATAATACATCTAATGGTAACACCTATAGTGGAAATATTATGACGTAAAACAAATTGTCACATACGCATTTCTGACTTATGTGGTTTCCACAAATATTACCCTGGGTGCAAAGTTAGTTTGACACAGATCAAGCGTTAATTTATTTGCTAAATCATCATTGAGTATCTTCAGTCAGTTTCAATGATAAAATAATAATAAGTAAACCATTTTCTCTTGAGGACTTTTATCTCTGGAATCTCCTCCCTTCATACATGGTATACACTGAGGACCAGATCTCTACACAAGTATTATTAACAGCCCAGTTGCTCTATCAGCTCTTAAGCAATAATTAAAATGGTTTCTTTCAAAGTATTTTAAGGCAGAGACTGAATCGATTTGCAGCACTTCCACTTTTACCGCAGTGTTGTAAATTGATGTCCCAGCAAAACCACATAGGTGGTCTTGGCACCATGGCTCCAACATGAGTTGTCATGTCTCAAACCTAACTTATACTATGTTTTCATGGTGGTTTGACACAATATAAATAAGGTGCATGGATGTGATTGTAGAAGGAGGAATGACTACTTCCACAGGTGGAATTGCTGCTGTGGGTAAGATTCTGCATACATTCAGTTTTGTACTGGGTACATAACAGCAGCAATAACAACAACAACAATAGCAAATTGCATTTATATACTGTTACGCCTTCCATGTCAGGGGTACATTTTATTTAAAGCTAGTCGATGGGCTACACTAATATAGGAATTAAATCCACCCATCCTTATCATTGATTTTCAAGGCATAACTAGTAAATTGTCAGCAACTCTGTCAGCTTAATTATTCTAAACGATTTATAGATATGATAATGGTTTAACATTTTCTCTCTGGTAAACATGGTCTATTGTCATTTAAGCACATGGGAAAACTGTGTAAAGAAAAGCAATTTATATGGAGGTGAAATGGAGTGCGCAGGGACTGGGGCTCCAGTCTCGCTAAAACACATCAGTATCATCTGTCCAGTACCTTTTGCAATATTTTTTGAATTGATGATGTCCAAATTTATTTCAGTACAAATCTATTAAAATAAAGAAAATTGAATTTGAATTGAATGTGAGGTTAGCTACCTTAGGAAATCAAATGGCTAATGTAATTTCCAAATTGGGACACTAACAAGTTTTTAAAATTAACTATGTGGAGTTTAGAATCTGAATGTTAAGAAGAAACAGGACTCAGTCTCATTCAGATACATTCCCGAAGAAGCAAACAGCTGTAAGGTAAGGCTACAGCTTATCTAGTTACAAGTGAGATGAGGGAACATGAAACAAATGTATATTTAAAGGGATAATCATAATAAATGTGGGCTGCAGACTATTGGTAGAGTACAAAAGGAAAGAGCAACCAAGGTCTCATATAATGGAGAACACTTAGCTCAGAATCCAGTATTGATTGACACATAGAGTAACACCGATGATATGAACACTGGTCATGTAACATTTTGGGCATAAAACTGATATAAGATGTTATTCTGAGCTCTGTAGGTTTTATACTCTAGCAATTGGATCCCTATCTGGCCGTTGATCAATTTAAAAAATTGTTAATATGACAAGTATCTTGGATTCCCATGTTTTCTATAGTTTTCTATGGAAATATCAATGTTAAGAAAGTCATTTCAGTCACATTTGGGTTGGGGCTATTTCCTCTCTATTTTTAGCCATTGGGAAGAATAACCGCTCTTCTATTAATATATGTTCATCGGTTTCAGCAGGAGACATGGATGTATAGATTACTTGTTAACATTCCAGCTCCTTGAGACGTCCTCCCGACGCAAAAGGCGCTATACAAATGTCATTTTGTTTGCTGCTGTACTTTCCATCCCTGCCCCCTCAGCTACCAGCATGGGCTCCCCATCATCTGTGTGAAGCACAATGAAATGTCCTCCCTCGGTGTAGGGGCTGAATAAATGTAAACTGTTGTTGAATATGTGGTGAAGCTCTTGTGTCTTTTTGGGCTATTCCTGGAGTACAAATATCCCATTTACACCAGGTATACAGCATGAACCGGAGTCAGTGTATTTTGTCTCCAGGCTGTTTGAGCAATTCCCGAGCAATGTTTGAACACATTATCACAGATTCAACTGATATTGAGAAATTGTAGCTTAAATGCTCCGTGGAACTTTACATGCTCACCTAGTTCAATGACCTGTGGCATTTATCTAGGTTAAGACTCTTATGAAAAGCTTTCATCACATACAATATTAACAGAGCCTGACAACTATTTATACAGAAACTAAGAGCCGGGTTAATCTGATAACAAATACTATCAGTATGAGTTTGCATAGGCCTCAGCAGATTAGCATTGTTCAAAATATACTTTTGAGGCAGAAATACATTGAAAATGCTGGAAAACCAGAAACGGGGAAAAAAAAGAGATTTTTGAACGAAAAATAAATGACAGAAATTAGAAGTTTCATTCCATGGTACAATATCCATTTTCAATTAAGAGCGTTGAAAATTGAACTGAGAACACAAAACACAACAGCAGCAAATATACAGTGCTATCCCCATTAAAGCATTTCATACCCTGGTTTAGTGCATGTCTGCTTATAGCATGGGTGTACTGTGGACCGTGGTTTAGTAGGACCTAAAGGTTAAAGATTGTGATGTGCAGGAAGTACGGTCAAGAGTAACTTGATGACCCAGAAGCACTGAAGGATGGCTGTTGTTTTAGCGTGCCTCATTATAACATGGGGGCTGAGTTTGTGGACCCAAACCACCATGTTGTAATGGAGTTCAAAAGTATCCTTAATCTATTCCTGAAATGATGGTTGGGTTATCTTCTCAAGCTTATTTTTTTAGGTGTTTTTCTACACCTTGTGAAATGCGGAGGAAAAACATCAGAATGCCGTTGTTTGTGACCACTTCCAGCAGTATATATTCATATATTCTGCCATCTCTTTACATGTTTATTATTATTATTATTATGTTTATTACCTTCAGAAGTTAGTTTTAACATATCATTTACATTTAGAGTGCCTGTATTTCAGAAGTGGGAATTTTCTGGACGCAACTAATGTGCTGATAAAAATCACTGTGTGTTATTGCTCTTCTGAACCATATGTTGGAAATAATCCAGTTACATATGGAACACTGGGAGGAAAGCTTTTGTTGAGAAATGGTGTGTAGATAACTTTGGGATTATTCTGACTATTTACATTAATAACTGAAGTTTGTTCCTTTTCTATTTATTTTTTAGGCTTTTATGGAATAAAGCTCCCAAAGGTTATAGCAATGTCACAGCTGTCTGGTATATTCCGCTCTCTGTAGAGCATGGGACCTACAAAATATGCCACTTTGGCCATTTTAAAACTTTACAGAATCTGAAACCAGTCTTCAACCCTTATGAAGGCTCTTCATCTCCATTTGATGTCAAAAGTTAAAGATCAACATTTGTTTCATGACAATTTAACCATTGATTATTCCTGTTTTCTATGGAGGATGAATGAAGATTACAAACCTTGTGCATTGTATTCATGATCCAGTTGAATAATTTAATAATGGATTCATTATATTTACAGTGAACTCCTGATAAGACCCTGCCTTATGCCATCACATGGTTTATATCCTCATGCTGTCAATATCCTAGTCACTTCTGATGCAAAATTAATATGACACCCCTCTTTATTTCATCGTTTCGCCCACAAAACATACAGTCAATTCAGTAAAGCTCTTTGAGACGTCTCGAAGACATGATATGGTGCTATATCAAATGCAAGGATTGTTATTATCATCACTGGCTTATTATAACATATAAAGTCACATTCTATACATACCCAGTAAGTAAAATATCAGATCTCTTGTTGGAACAAACCTACCTGTCCCGCTCAGCTAGCCTGTCAGCCAACTCTCTTGCTGAGTGGCCTGGTAGCGTGGGAAAACATCACCCTTGCTCTGAGTCAGCCATGAGGGAGCTGTTTCGTGGCAAGTTCTCTGCAAGTGGAAATTTTAGATCTTGCCTTGTATGTGGTCCTGCTTGATTGTTATCAGTAATTCAGGTTGTTAAAATGAGCAAAATGAACAAAATGTTTTTTGTACACAAGTAGGCCTATACTTATTCTGTACGTAACTCAAATGAGTTTTAACCCAAAAACCGACATTTGTGGGGCAGGGGCCCCTCTGCTCATTCTACACAGGCGCAGTGTGTGTTGGTATAGGTCGTCCCGGCCACATCGACCCCTGTTGGCCCCGGAGGACTCATTTTTATATAGTTGCCCAAATTTAGAATGACAGCTCTTTTCTCTTGGAGTGACGATAGATCAGGAGTTTACTGTTCATTGAATCAAGGGTGTGGAGAGAAATCTATTTCTAGAATAAGAATTTGATCTGAATATAATATGCTTATATAACGTCTTTCAAATCAGGAGGATACCTCAAAGCATTTGACAATGCTGGCTGGGCACTAAGATGTTGGTTTTGGTTATGCGATCAATTATTTTAACATGTATTATGTTGGTTTTCACATTAAGAAAAAGGATGATTCATTAAATGTAATGCTTGTATCATGTAGGTGTTTTAATGAAATTTGTTTCACTGGGCAACCACTCTAGTCCATCAATTCACAAATTAATACAATTAAAACATTTCAAACACTTTAAATAATAGCTTAAATAAAGTTCATGAAACACTTTACTTTGTAGTATTTGGTTTTGAACTACAGTAAGGTAATTGCGCTCTTGGAGGGAATAACTAAAATGACAAAATACATCTTTCACATCTACTTACTCCAGCTAGGATTTTCAGTTTACTTAATACCAAAAAGGTCAGCGTCGTCACCAATACTTTGGTTAAAAAAAATAGTCTGATGATTGGACTTGACTAATTAGCAAGTTGTGTGTTTTTGAATTGAGAAGTGATTTATAGTCTAGGCTGACTGATACCTCAGGGCAGGATTGGCGAGTGCTGTGTTTCAGATCAGATGTTCAACCAAAGTCCCATCAGCCGATTTAGGTGGATGTTAAAAATCATGTGACACTATTAGAGAAAAAAAAGAAGAGAATTTCTCCACTTATCCTTTCCTCACCAAAAATCTTCCAGATGAATAGGTCATTCACCTCAAGGCTGTTTGTAGGATTTTTTAAAATGCAAATGACTCCTATCTGCCTCAAAAAAAATCATTACACTTGACAATAATTACCTGTGAAGCACTATGAGAAATTTCAATATGATACGAGCTATAAAAGCTGAAGTTCTGCCTTTCCTCACCCTCTCCCACTGTCTGCTAAATTCAGTTGTGCAGTGCAGGATTTTCTAGTTAATGGAGCAATGCCAAAATTGGATATTGAAATGGAAGTCAATACAGGAACCCCAGTAGGAGCAAAATTGCCCCCTGACGTTCCACAGTAACCTCAGTATAATGCGCTCGCTTTCCAATGACATTTTATTTGTAGCAAATACTTGTTAAAGAATATTTTACTCAGTTTTCTTCAGCTACAAAACAATACGATTTATCACATATGGTACTTTGCTTCAATACACTTCCAAACTACTGTAACAAGAATCTAATGAGTCTGTCTTTCTTTTCACGTTAATATTTAAGTAGTGATGATACACAGTACTCCAGGCCACTGCTGATAACAGACCAGCCAGCCTGGCTCATAGGCATAACTTGGAGGAGCAGACCAGTCACTGAGAGCAGAGATTCTTCCAACTGAGCTCCTGCTACCCTCTGTAAGCTAAAGGCCTAACCGGTAGGTCCTAGCTGGACAAGCAGCAAAAAACTTGCTCTCAATGCAAAGCTGTGCTGTTTTAACTGGTTCAACTCCAGCAGTACCCCAACAATAGTACACTCTGGGGTCTTTGAGCCTTGGCTCTTTGGAAGATAAGCAAGATGCATCCCTCCAAGGAGTGTGCAAATTCCATAGAGGGACATTTCTATGTGTAAGTGGCATGTATATGTGGAACTCTGTTTAATTTGGATATACTTAAGTATGGCGATGATTTTTGCATGTGTTAAACACGAAGTTGACCAAAAAAAAAGGACTTTTTTTCTCATTCATTGGGCTCATTAATGTTGATATGACCTGGAGTAAATAACCCAGAGTTTAGAATTGCCCTCTCACCTACACATAGAGGCACTTGCTCAATTGCTCATTATTTACCTTCAAAAAAGTCTTACCTAGTTTGATTGTTAGAATTCAACATTATTAGAAAACATTCTGCTTTGGAGGGGAGAAGATTCTGCTTGAAAAGTAAAAGATTTGTCGCCACTATTGAATGAATCTGTGCTCCTGTTTATCGATTCTAAATGTTTGCCAACATCATCGACCAAAGCAAATTAACTTCCAAATGACTAAATCAATCTATGCTGTTCAATATAACTAGGTGCAACTTCTGCTAATAATCACTCCAGGATGTCAATGTTATTTGCCTTTTCAGACACAAGAGACTATCTACAACTAATCTAATGTAAAGACTGACTGCTCTGTAGCTAAACAGTTTTAATCTCAATAAGGCTTTAAGTGTAATATTTTTACATATATACTTGGGAAGTAAGGATATTTGGGATACAGAGTAAAGTCAGATAAGTGGGTAGAAAATATTTGCCATAGAACTGGTAGAACAGGCTTGATAGGCTGAATAGCCTCCAATTTCCTATTGTTCCTAACCATGCATTGTACAATTATATAGGTAGTCCTATTTTAAGATTTCTCGACTTTAATGGCCAAGTCAAAATATTTTGAGTTTATTTTGCTTTATGTCTAGTAAAGGAGGCCTATGTTTGCTCAGAAACATGTTGTGCATTTTTGTTTCCGAGTATTGGCCATTTCTATGAGGAAGTGTCTGAAACTACAGTTGGATTCCTTTTCTACACATGTGGGAGTGATATTTCAATTGTCCATAACCTCCTTCCATCCTGATTTAATGTTTTTGAACATACATGAGACTAGCACACAGTATAGTACTTGCAACTATTCTGCCTCAAGCTCTTCACAGGTAACCAAATGAGGCAACTAAACTAAAATTGGAAATGTATAACAAACAAAGCAGAACCTAAATGAGAAATGCAATCACTTGAATCAATCACTCAACAGTAATGTCCCCTTGCTGCATTAAATGTGTAATTTGGGGGTATATTTTGACTTGACTTTTAAAGTCGAGAAATCTTAAAATAGGACAAAGGTACAAGAATGTCATGATTCCAAAATGTGTTCTTAAAATATTGGGAACTTTTTCTTAAGAACACCAGCAGATGGCGACCCTCTGCAGCCAAGTGCATTGAGTGTCTTAAGTGCTACCATTTTGTTGGATCCTTAGACAAGTTTTGTAAATTTTAAATATTAGTTTTTCTATTTGCTTAGCCTGTCCAACTGTTAAAAGTGATTCGGTAACAGAGGGATAACAGAGTGGAATACATTGCCTGTCCATTCCTGTAAACAGGGAATGCTACATCCAGTGGGACAGGACAGTAGCTAAAAAATGTTTTAATAATAAATAATGATCATTGTAGTTGATAATAGCACTTTTCATGTCAAGAGGATGTCTGGAAGCACTTCATGGGATTTAATGTAAAATGTAGTGACTATATTTTGTAGGCGAACGCAGCAGCCAATTTACAGCAATATCCCATTCACAGCCGTAAAGTGAATGACTAGGTTGTCAGTCATGTGAGGCTCAGACACAGATGATTGCCGGAGGATTGCATTCTTACAACCTGGCACTCTGCCTGGAATAGAAATCCCTAAATAGCTGCTAAAAATAATCTTTCGAAATACCAGACATGTTATTAACACAAAATGTTAAGAATAATATTAGGTCTTAGTTCAAATAGAACTGTAAGATATCAACATAATGATAAATGTAAAGGTTCAACTTATTGCTCTGGTCCTGCCAGTGACAACTTGAACTAACCGAATGGGATTGGATGTTCACATCAGCAGTGGATGAAACAAAAGGGATGTAAATAAATAAGCTGTCTGAAAGTCATTTGGCACATATACTATCAGATGTAAAGGGGAGGTGGAAGTGAAGTAAAAGATAATGTAAAATATTAACTTAGACAAGGAGAAAAAGATCAGATCTGAAGTTTTTGGTTCATCTACTGAGACACAGATTGTTAACTACTCGTATCATTGTCTGCCAAATGAGAGCTTCCAATGAAGGTAAAACTCTTCTTTACTGAAATGCAGGCTAAAAAAATGACATTCACCCAAATTGACCAAGAACATATAACTGGATAGATGGCTTCAATCAAAAAGTAAACATGAGAAATAACTGCAGGCTGTTCAGTAAATAATGAATAATGCTCTTAATTGAAGGGGTGACACAAACAGACTGATAAACATCACAACAAAGCCCTGAGGGAAATTAAAGTCTTTCCAAGACCTTTAATTGCTTAAATTTGGAGCAGATAACTTCTAAGAATAGATCTGATACTGCCAGAGAGAGTGAGAAAACACAGGAAGAAAATTAGGATAGTATTTCAAATTCTCTTACCCGGCCATGCAGTATTGATTGAATGAAAAATGGTAAATGTTTTGCTGTTTAATGGGTGAAAAGGAAGAGAGACACATATTGAACAAAACACTGTATTCAATAAGGGGAAATGGGGATCAGGAAGCAAGTCTTTGTTAATGACCATCCTTCATATTTGTTTCACTTGTTATCTTGGAGGCAAAGGACAACCCCAGGCTTCTCTTTTCCACCACAAACCGTCTCCTCCATCCACCTTCCCGTAACTCGCCCATCCTCTCCTCAAACTCCAACTGTGAGGAGATGCTGGACTTCCTTGAATCTAAAATCGAGGGGATACGTTCAGCCACCTCTGCCCCGTCCACATCCACCCCCACATCACCTCTCCCTCATGACACACACCCTCACCCATCCCCCCCATACTCCTTCGACCCTATCTCTCCCTCCTCCCTCACCCCGACTGTCCACAAACTCAAACCCACCACCTGCTCCCTCGATCCCATTTTCATCTCTCTCCTCATTTCCCAACTCCACCTTCTGGCCCCTCTCCTGTCCGACGTCATCAACCTCTCCTTGTCCACCCATTCAGTTCCCACCCCACTAAAAACAGCCGTCATCACCCCCATCTTGAAAAAATCTTCCCTGGATCCATCCCTCATCTCCATCTACTGCCCCATCTCTAACCTCCCCTTCCTCTCCAAGGTCCTGGAACGAGTCGTCGAGTCCCAGCTCTGCTCTTTTCTTTCTCACTATTCCTTCTTTGAACCCCTCCAATCCAGCTTCATCACTGCTCACAGCACGGAAACAGCCCTGGTCAAAGTCACTAATGACATTCTGAACAGCTGTGATCAGGGCTCCCTCTGCCTCCTTGTCCTCCTCGACCTCTCTGCCAACTTTGACACTGTCAACCACTCCATCCTCATACACCGCCTCTCCTCTTCATTAGTCTTCACGACCTGCCTTGCCTGGTTCGATTCTTATCTTTCTCATCATCTCCACTTTGTTGCCTCTAACGGTTTCTCCTCCAGCCCCCGCACTGTCATGTCTGGTGTCCCCCAGGGCTCTGTCCTTGGCCCTCTCCTCTTTAATATCTACATGCTCCCCCTTGTTGACATCATTGCAGACATGGGGTCAACTTCCACATTGGGATGAGACCCAACTCTATCTTTCTGCTTCCACCCTCAACTCCAGGACCACTGCTGTCCTGACAGACTGTCTGTCGGACATCAAATCCTGGATGAAGGCAAATTTCCTACAGTTGAATGTGAACAAGACTGAGGCTCTGCTGATTGGCTCGCACCAGCGCCTCAGCGCCTCAGGCTCTGGCAACATCAACCTCCATGGTTGCACATTACAACTCACCAGCCAGTCAGGAATCTAGGTGTCTTGTTCGACCCTCAACTGTCTTTTCTGCCCCACATTCAAGCCATGACCCGCTCTGCCTTCCCTCATCTCCGTAACATCGCCCGACTAGCTTTAGCTTTAGCTTCCTTCAAGTCCCGCCTCAAGACCCTCCTCTTCGACCATGCCATCAGTCACCCACCCTTCCCCTCCCCTCCCTTCCCCCCGACCCCAGCTCAGGTCTGAAATGTTGTACTCTGTCCAGCGCTTTGGAACTTTCTCCCGACGTGAAAGGCGCTATACAAATGTAACCTTGTTGTTGAGTCTTGTTGTTTTATTTCATTCCAATATAAGTATTGATATTAGGCCTGCCATCTTTCCTTTTTTTGGCAAAGGTCAACCACAGGTTCTGTTTGGTGAGGAAAGTCAACTCTAAAAAATTAGAAGTAAAGTTTGAAGGCAACATTGAATGGAATGTAAAACCTTTTTTTAACATTTGTCTGTTTTATATATAAATCATTTCTGTAATTGATTATCCAACTCCTTCCAGGGTCCGTAGCTTTCTGAATAATTTTACATGGACTACTTGTGGGAGATTTAGTCAGGATAATAAAAATAATAAGGATCTTCTTTAAATGGAGGTAATATTTCAACTTAATAGGAAAGAACTATTTCCTCATCCTGAAAATGTTACACAGCATCACTAATGCATAATTTACAGAGCTATTGTAATCCTGGTCACTTCTTTCATTGCACCCGAAACAACAACAACAAGATTCCATTTATAGAGCGCCTTTCACGTCGGGAAGACGTCCCAAGGCGCTGTACAGTTGGGTCAGGACCCGAGCAAGGGGGAAATGGTTAAGGTGGACATTAAATAGTCTTTTGGTAATTTTAAGCACTTGGAAGCTTTCTGCTCCTGAAAAAATAGCTGGTTACTGGAATTGGAAGATGATTGGTTTAGTATTTCTGGTGGGATGAGTTATTTTATTACGTCTTATTTTCTGCACAGAATATTTCTGAGTGACCAGCTGATTTATAGAAATCATCGTGACTGCTGCCAGTGGGAAAAGGTTTAAAAAACAAAGTATTTGAGTGGACAATGTTTGGAATATGTATGCACTGGGGAATAGAACAGGCTGTGTTTGAGGAAATTCACCCTTGTACGCTATGGAAGGATGTTTCTATTAAACTTTTATCAGAACCATAGCTGATATGGAAACACATTGAAAATTTTCTGTGCACTCTTTATTGATACATTCTGCAAATTTCTACATTGACACTAATGTTAAACAATTGCGATAAATGTTTTATAACAGTTTACACCACTTTGATGGTAACAAGTTAGAAACAAATTAAGATGCAATGAAATACAATGTAGCTTAACATAATTATTTTAAAACTTACAACTTGTGATTACAGACACAAAACTGATTGTTTTGCCTTGATTCGGTGGTGCCAATTCATTCACATTTTATTGAAGTCAGTAATTTTCCCCTGATAACAGTTTTTTTTGACAAATGAATGGTAATTTTTTAAGGTACATTGTAATATCTGAAAGAAAATGTCATGTTCTCTCAGCGAAGAGCTCTGTACAAACATTGATATTTTGACTACTGGTACAAAAATAAGTTCTGAATGCTCCAAACGCATGTTTTAATACTGTTATCATTTTTTTTACTGCTTTGGCACCTGCATGAAATACCTTACCAAGCCCAAAAACATCAATGCTTTTAAAACACAATACAATAAAGCACAGGTTTAAAGTTTTTGTTCCATTTAAACTGAAGAAAGTCAGCTAAAGCATCAAATAAAGGGAACAGGCCATTACTAAATTAGAAGACAGTAAATACTAAAGAAACGTAACTTTCCACTCTAATCTATTAGGTGTCATGACTGTTAGGTTTCTAGCAGCAGTGTAGGTGAAGCTATGTTTCACTCAATCTCCCTCCTGAAAGAGGGCCATGTTAACAGAGTTTGCTTTGCTTTACACGTGCACAGGTCTAACTGCTTTTAAGCTCCTTTCAAGGAATTGTCATGATATGACGGATATTTGATTAAACAAGAACCACTTTGTGGATTCAAAATAAAACTAAGCATAAGCAGAAAACCAGTCAGTGTGCGATAATCCAAATGACGTCTAACCATTTAGCAAATGTGAACTCCTATCAGTAAAACAGGTGGTGTCTGTGGCTACTTTCTAACTATACATAACTAGTCAGTTACACAAACACATTCCTACTGTTTTTGAAACAGTTAAATATTCTATAACTGAGTATTCTGTATGGCTAAGTTATGAATGTAAACATGAAGGCCAAATTATACCTGAGAAATATAAAAAAATATTCATGGGTCTTATAGCTTTTTCACTTTTTTTTATTAAGGTAGGTTCTCTTAACTTAAAATACATCCTTGATGCATACAGATGTCTATCATTACGGATCAATCTTCTAATCTAGTTGGATTCTATCATTGAAATCTATTCTATTATATGTAGTATTGGAATTACAAAGAAAACAATTAAGAGCAATCCTATTCTGCTATCTGTTGCGTTTTAATATTAATTTAAAAATCAGCATTCCTATGACAGCTGTGGATGAGACTGACTGTCAATGCCTTATCTTTTAGAATGTTCCATATGTGTCTCCCCTTGCAGTCACTGCAAATGCTGGATAACCTTCGTAGGTTGTGTACGTGGCGAGATCCTGTCCCAAGGCGACAGCTTGTTTCAACTGTGTAGCTGTCACAGTGGCTGCAGCACCAGCTAATGCATATCCTGCAGCATAACATGGGAATGGGATATCAGTGGAAGAACCCAAGTAGGAGATAGGCATACACAAAGGTTTGCCTGAAAGAAGATGCAAAGCAGTCATTACCCTGGGTGATAGTTCACAAAATGCAGTCAGTACACAGTTTAGGGTTTTAGATGTGCTTTGGGTCTGTTGACAGAGTGCCAGGCACTTCCTTCCTTTCCCTTTCAAGCTGTAGCACTTCTCCTAATAATGTTCCTAATGGCAATGTTTTTTGTCAGATTGTTTCCTTGTCATCAGTTCATTTTTACGATCACAAAACGGCTGTGATGGAATACATCAAGGAGATGGAGAGTGATGCTTGTACAAGGAAGCATAGCAGCCTAGACCTGACACTTTAAAAAAAACTCTTATTTCACATTAAGTGTCTTCTGTCGGCCTGGTAATGGGAAAGATTCTACTTCCCGGTTCTTGTCTCTGTGTGGACCAGTTGGAATTGAAGAACTCGTTTTTTTCGATATTAAATGTCCTATCTAATTACTTCAATCAATTAGATTTTGACATTCCTACTATTGAGTTAAACTGTTACAGTATACAGGGTTCAATTATATAATTCAATTAAAAAAAGTATAACTCAATTACACTGTGCGCAGTTGGCTGCCGTGTTTCGCCCACAAATACACCGTCTGTGAAGTACTTTGAGATGTCTAGAAGACATGAAAAGCACTATATCAAATGCAAGGATTATTCTTATTATTCAAGGTATATCCTTGGGGAACTAGATAAAGCAGTTTATTTTTTCACTACTTATATCCAGGTTTAAATCTATCCAGAAGTCTCTTTTCTATCTCTCTCACTCTGTGCTTGGCTGTCTGTTTAATAGTTTCACCCACTTCTAAAAAGGTGTGAATGGACAGTGCAAAACGGCCTAAATTTTCACTAAACTAATGAAATCAGAAAGACAAGTATGACCGTGGTAGGGAAGCAAACCTTTCACTGTTGCAAGTAGAGGATCCTTTTCTGAGGATGGAGGAGGAGTTGGGTATGTTGTTTTGAGAGGTTTATTCTGCCTCTGTCTGTGGTCAGTACCTGACTTTGATGTGTTTGATACCAATACTGAATGCCTGAACTTATTTCTATTCCTTGTGACTCGAATCGCTTACTTTATGATCACAAATATTTGACAAGATGACTTTATCCTAGATTTTACACTGACATCACAAATGTCAATATTAATTCCATTCACAAATATAACAGCAAAATATGACTGCAGTACTTATATAGCACCTTTCCCACGGGCTAGCATTCCAGAGTACTTAAAAATAAAAGAACTTCAACAATGAATATTTTTGCAACAATAATTTGCCTTGTAATAAATCTCACTGTATCACATAAGTGAATGTTTGTTTCACATTTGACATTGTTACTACAAATAATTTTCAGAAGGTAATGTCAGTACGGACCTTTACATACCTGTGAAAGCTGCTGTAGGTGGCTCAGCAACCTCGGGCTGAATTCCCAAGACCTGAAGGGTGTGCTCTGCTGCAAAACTTTTTGCTTCTTCAACAGATGTGCAAAGTTTGGCTGGTGTGAATGGATGTCTGCGAGGAAACAATCTGTTAACTTTCCAGTTGGACCAAAGCATATTATTGTTTCACAATATCAGGAGTAATATAGTATTGGCCAGGTTGGGTTTTACTCTTGCAGAGGAATTCATTCTTTTGACTTCTGAAATCACTTTTTTTTAATATAACTCTCGTCGCCTGAAATGTTCCTACTAGAAAAAAATTATCTCAGTTGATGATTCAGAAACTCTTTGGCGGTAACATCACCAAATTATAGGCAGATATTAATAAACCCCAAATACTGCTCTAACTTCATTAATGCAATGTGTGTAGTCACATAGTTGTCTAAAAATAGGAATGAGCATATTTATACCAGATGCAAAGCTTGGCAGATATTTGAGCCTCTATTGTGCTATAGATCACAATCAATGCTTTAATCCTTGCATTTTTTGATATAGCGCTTTTCACGTCGGGAGGACGTCCCAAAGGGCTTCACAGAACACACTGTAAAGTGAATTGACTATATTTGTGGGCGAACGCGGCAGCCAATTGCGCACAGCAATGTCCCACAAACAGTCGTAGATTGAAAATGACCAATTTATTATTATTTTTGGTTTTGGAGGGATTATTATTAGGCGTGTGGAGTAAGGAAACTTGCCCAAGGTTTCGCCCTGCGTGGAATTGAACTCAGGTCTCTCGCTTGCAAAGCGAGTGCTCTAACCACGGAGCTACAGGATTCCTTCAGTGGTTGGACGTGGCTCTGAACTGTATTTTTTAGGAGAAAATCAAAACAAAGTCGGTCCCTTCGTCCCTCAGAGATGAGGAAATATTATTGACAGGAGTAAATAATTGTGTCTACTAACTCTACTTGTCTAGCTCTGATGAAAGCACTCTCACCTCTGAGTCAGAAATTTGTAGGTTCAAGCCCCATGTTGGGACATTGAGCTCACAGTTTAGACTGACACCCCAGTGCAATGTTTGGGGAGCACTGCATTAAAGAGGTCCAATCCTTCAGATAAAATGTTAAACTGATGTCCCAACCGAGATCCTATGCCATTATTTGTAAAAGTGAAGGGAATTTTTCTGGTGCCCTGGACAATAATCACCTAGATAGTAGTAACTATGGCTTCAGAACTTCTGAAAACTGTCTTGTGAGTTTTAGCAGGCTTGAACAATTTTGTATAGTTTATGGTATGGATTTCCCTATGTTTATCATAATCACCAACATGTAAGAACCTAATAAACTTAAAATACTTCTGAGTTTTGTGCCAGCTGTAAACTTCTAATGCTGCAAGTTTGATAATAGGAGGCACTGAATGGAACCTGCCCCACTTGGCTGCACTGTGATGTGCTATGTGAGCTGGTGGTTTGGTGATGGAACAATATTGTGTTAACTCTATCCAAGAGCGAAAGTCAACATAATCGGCCAAACTTCAATGCCCGTCGTGAGCACTGGACCCACCCAGTACTAATCCATCAATATCTCTCCGATACATTGGCCCATGAGGTGACATGTCCATATGTAGGTAGATATGTTGTGGAGTCCTGTAGCTCAGTGGTTAGAGCACTTGCTTTGCAAACGAGACACTTGTGTTCAATTCCAGGCAGGGCGAAACCTTGGGCAAGTTTCGTTACTCCATACGCCTAATAATAATCCCTCCAAAACAAAACAATAATAAATTGGTCATTTTCAATCCACGACTGTTTGTGGGACACTGCTGTGTGCAATTGGCTGCTGCGTTTTACCCACAAATATACAGTCAATTCACTTTACAGTACATTCTGTGAAGCGCTTTGAGACGTCTAGAAGATGTGAAAAGCGCTATATCAAATGCAAGGATTATTATTATTATATAATGTGGACAGGCATGTTATACTGGCCACAATACCAGATCCTCCAGATTTATTTTAATGTCCAAGATTGAGCTATGTATGTGTATTGCTTCTCCAAGTTTCTGAATAAACCAGAGTGTCCACTGTTGCACAGGCAGTGTGAGATAACAATTATATAATGCTCTTATAACAAGGATCTTCATAATCAAAAGTGGGGAACCTCCACACGATAGACAATGCATTCAAATAACAGAATGAAATCAGATTCTCTATTCTTTAACCGTAAACTGCCAAGATAAACAGTTTCAATAAAGTGATCATTTATTTACAGAATGGTTAATTTGCACCTTTTTAACCAAAAAGCTATTAATATTTGCCATTACAGAATATACACTTTGACAAGCAAGCTCAAAGAATTACCCTTTTTTTGCGCAGAAATTATTAAAGATTATTTTCCAAAAGGAGGTTTTGTGTTGTGAATGCAAAATGTCACTTCCTTTTTGTATATATTGCTGCTGGTTATATTTTAAATTGAGAAGTTTTTGTCTTCCTCTTACAAGGCGATGCAAGGCTCCAAAGTCTATGTGACTGAATGCTCATCTTAACAGCACAATGCTCTAACCTGTCGTCTCTGAATCAGCTGGTGATTTAATTATTTTGCATAATTTTCTTTGTTGTTAGAAGGGCAGAGAACTGGAATTAGACACTAAAGCAACTTTCTTACAGGGAGGGTGCAAACAAATTAGAGGACAAGGAACCATAGAGGAAAATTGGTTAAAATGATAGAAAAATGTAGCATTTCCTGTGTTAGTTAGCCTGCTGGGATCATGACTCCTCACAGCTGATTGTGGAGCAGCATTTAAGGAGAGGGATATGATCTTTGAACCTTACTGTCTGGAAGATGCAAATGATACTGACTGGGAAAAATGCCAATAGGTAAACGAGGAAAGCTTTTATGAAAATTTAGTATCCCTCTTAGCAATTCCAGTTTCCTGTATAAACTATTAAATATACAAGTCTCCCCATCTCCACTTTTAAAATATACTTGTCTAAGTTATTTATAAATTGCACTGTTCACCATGCTGGGATATGCAACACTGTATTAACACAGATAAAAACACCCAAATAGAACAGCAATATAAATGGCGATTATGTATCACTTTTCAGTAATGTGTTTGTTACAGTTATAATTTGCCACACTTCATTTATTTAGTAAAAGGATAATAATAAGTAATAATAGTAATAAAAATAAAAGGATGATGGGGTTTCTCTTCGTCACTTTCAAAATAGCAGTAGTTCCAAATAAAGCCATCAGTTGGATAGATTTGGTCACTTTCCTTTGAGCAGAGGACAACTCTCTGTCAGTTGATATATCAGCCAAAGATGTAGCATTCTGTCTTAGAAACTGTTCAACATACTGCTTACTTCTGTCTGCTGTCTCACAATCCTTTGTCGATTCTCAACCTTCATGAACAGCGTTGGTTCCAACAGACTGGTCTGACTGGCTATTTCATACCCTGAAAGCTAATGATGTGGATATCAGGATTTGAGTTGGAATTGAATTCTGTATTTATTGATGCCAACTGCAACATAACGTGGTCATAATGTAAAGGAAACTGATAGCGCTCAAAGGGATCTGGATAACAGATTGATAAGGGATAACTAAAGGACCTTAATGTAGATACCTTGTAAGTTATTGTGTTCTGTACGTGAAATGTGTGCAACATGAACATATGCCCATTAACAGAGTGAAAAAGAAAAAAAGGATCTGGATATGATTACTGTTCATTTACATCCAGTTCACATGAAGTTTTAAAAAAAAAGTCTGGACTGTATCTCAAAGGCATCTGAATTTTTGTTTAAATCCTGGCATTTGCATGTTTTAAGTTATGTTATTGTAACCCTGTGTAAATAATTTCTGAGACATATTTAGAACAGTGTGGGCATCCTGACTTAAAAATGGCAGGAAGGAATCTAGAGAGGGTAACAAAGCTCTTCCAGAACTTAGACCTTGGAAATTATTTTGAAGTGGCAAAGAACTAATCTGATTTTCAACGGCGACATGAGAACAGAGAGAGAGGTATGATCCTTACCCTTTAAAATAGTGAAAAGTATAAATAATAGATGCAGTGGATTATCTAAATTTGAATGTAATCGGAAAAATGCAGGAATCAAAATAGAAAATTGAGTGTTAAATAATGTTTTCAATTTTCTCCACACATGCACACACAATTAAGAGAACTGCATGCCTGGAATAAACTTGCAGTAATGGAAGGTAAAGTTGTGGTCATTCTCTAGATTTGTTTTTTTTAAATGTATCAAGGTTACAAATAAAGGTATTTGTTTATACTTAAAACCTTCAATTAGAAAATACATATGGAACACATGGTACTGGGAACATAGTGCCTCATATATGGAATATTAGCTGGTAATAACTGAATTATGTGTCCAACAAAGTTAGATCAATATTCTAGAGTTCAACTTTATTAGTAAGACTCAATCATAGGTTGAGTAGGGAAGGAACTACAACTTTGCTTAGTTGCATGAATTGTTTAGATTGAAGTTTCTAGGTTATAATCTCTGGAGGACTTTGTCAATGGGCTTCGTAATGACTACTTGGGTCAACATAAATCTGATAAAACACCTTTCTGATTGTTTGTGTTTCAAACTAAAGTAAACGGTTGCCACCAATCACCGATGATATTCTGCCTATAATCCCATTATTGTGATGCTAGCAATTGTTTAATCACTGGGTTCTACCAGTTTCACTACTAATCCTTTGATTTCATAGCTATGTTCTCTGTATCAACTTCAAGTAACAAAAGGACTGGGTCTATTCACCAGCATTTATTTAAAACAGGACTGTACAGATTTTGAAGAGATTGAATAACTTGTGCTCATCTGCCATCTACCTGTATCTGGAGGTGATACAGAACCTTCACTTCTGGTAGCCAATTTGAAGACCATTCTCATTCCTCTTTCTTGTAACAAATACATCAAAAGTATTCTTTCCTAGAAATGCCTTTCATTAAGTGGATATAATAAATGTAGATCTATTGGAATCTCATAAATGGTTGTAGCATTATTAAGGCTCAATATCTCTCATGGTCTTTAGCCTAAAGACTATGATCTTAAACTTAAAGATTGTGCAGAGTTTGGGGAAAATTCTAAAATGTCCTCCAATTTGAAATTGAATTAAGGCCAAGAGCAGAGAGTATTGTTATTTTAGGGCTTGTCCATATTATCTCTGAAATTTCTGGCGAACCAATGCCATGGAATTCAATAGCTTTCCTTACATACTCAGGGTTTATTATATGACCTATCTTGAATTAATAAGTGAATGTATTTTAACTCTAAGCGGTTTGGCAGTTAATAAAAATGCAGCCATTCAATCCTAGCTTACACATTACTTCCCTAATATTTTTGATGGTAGATCAATGGTAAGATCACCATTATCTACCCTTAAGTCATGCATACTGGCTTCAAATTCTATTTTTTTTTGTTATAAAAGAATTCAATAGCTTTCCTTTAACACTTGGGGTTTATTCTATGATCTACTGGTATGTAACAATCAATACGATCCACAGAATCTGAAAAACATTCTTTCCCTTTTGGCATCATGTGCTTCTTAGATTACTTATTAGGTATTGTTACTTTATTGTCCTGTGCATATTTTTGCTTCTCTATTTGCTAAGAGAACTAGTAATTTATATTCATCCTCATGGATTCACAATTCTAATAGAAATAACATCATATTGAATGAGTAATACTGTGTATTAGTATGTGAATACCTTTTAAACAAAATACTGTATGATGACAATTGTGCCAAGGTTTGGGATCCCTTTTGTCTTCACATATTTCTTTTTTTTACTGATCTTCCCCTCCCGATGTCCCATTCAAGAAAGTCTAATCCCAAACCTTTGACCTGTCAGAATAAGTCTAAGCAACTCCATAGCCTTCTATGGGAATGTTCTCTTACACTTCCTCCAGGATTCTATGAATTGTAGTCCCTTTTGTTGGCTGATATTTTACAAGGATTTCCAAGTGAGATAGATTCTTCATGTACTTACTTTCTTCACTTTTTTTTCCCCTGTTGCTTTTTTATTACAGAGTTTAGTCACATTCTTATTTTTAGCATCTTCTTTGTCACACCTGCACTTCTATTAGCATTGATTCCTTTAGGATCTCAAAGCAGCAGGAATTAACATCACTTTATTTCTCTGTGTTTACTGCTCTGATTGCAATGTGCTTCACTGGTTCCTGATAATCAGGTTTGTGGTAATATCCTAAATTCAAATGTACATTTCAGAATTGTAATTCCCTGCATCATTACATTTAAGAGAAAAGTATTTCCTATTCATAGTTTACTACATTGTGTTATATTGATTATATGAAGCTACTATTCATTTAAGAGTTGAAGGACAACTAAAGTCTGAACACTTAAAAAGAAACACACAGAACATACACTTTAAATGTATGAAGCTGGATGCTTGCATGAGATTGCTACAGCTCAAAAGCTCACTTAGAGTAGGTGCAACTGAGTAACATAGAAAGAATTAAGGCCAAACCCCTTCATGTGATCATTTTACAATCAAGATTACAAAACTGAATATTAAATCACTATGAAAAATATCTAAAAAGACTGGCTTTGGTGAAGCCTCTAGGCTTCTAGTATTTGTAATTCCTGGTCAATAATTTTCTGGTTACACTGTTTGTTAATTAGTTAAAGACAGCTAGTGTCCAGCCATGTAGTCCTTGGGGCTAATATCATTTTATAAACATCAACTTTGAAAAGATAATGTTAATATTAAATCATCAACCTACATGTTTGGGTACTGATTAGCCAGAGCAGGAATGGTGACTTTGTACAGGAAAAGCTGCCTTTGATCAGGCCCAATGGCAGAATGAAGCTGGTAAACTGGTTGTCCCCAGTTATTTTTTTGGCAGATATCGTCCAGGATCTGTGGTTGAAGCAAAATTGCATTTTGTTTTAGAATTAGTTTAATTGATTGAATTTTTAACGCAACTTTGATAAACCTTGAAAATGTTGAAGCAACAGAAAAGAGCTCCTACCTGAGAAGGATGCTTCATTCCTTGAGGTTTTAGTGTGACTGGATTGGTTGGAGTAAGCTCCATTCCAGGCAAGAGGTCGTAAAGTTTGTCCTCTTGCCTTTTGTCCATTTTCATGTGGTAATCTGCATACCCACGTCCAAGACCCGGGTAAGCCAAATAACCTCGGCCTCCCAGACCTCTAACTCCTGCAGCCCCTACAGGTACACTCATGTAAATTTCTAGGAATGCAAGAAGGCATCAAACTGAATCACCAGAATCACCCTGATTCTCACTTAAATAAAAACGTTAGCCTCAATAGCACACAGTTATCTCGTTACTGAAAGGTGGCATTCAATATTTTTTTCTTCTTCATTCATTGACCGAAGATATCATCATGTAAATACATTTGGTAATTGTAATGCTCTCAGAATTGAGGTGGGTGAAATATCTCCCTCGGTCATGAAGCTTGCAGTCAACATTCAATGGTTATAACATTTTTGTTTGGTTTTAATTTTAATAAATTCCTAATTTGCAAGATTAACGAAGAACAGGAATCCGAAAGTTAATGGCTGTGCAGTAAAGCACGGTTTTAGCTGGCACATCACATAAAAATACTGCCAATTAATTTTTAGCAAGCTCACCTTTCAAAATACTGTTTGATCTACGTTTGAGGCTAAACATTTATTTAAAACATGCATAGATTAAGATATGATTTTTTTCAGTTATTTAATAAAATGATCTGTTACAGTTATTTAATATTGAGTGAAAAGTGCATTTTATCAGACAATACGTTTAAAAAAATGTTGCACTTTTTGATTAATTTGCAGTTCCTTCAAAGAGATATTGCATTGTTGAAGAATAATGAAGTTAAGTAAGTATTGATTGCAATGTCCTATGGTTAGTATTCAATACATATATTCACAGACCTGTATTTATGGCACCCATTTCTAATATTAAAACTGGTTCCTTCTCAACTGATACAATAATATTTTGATAGTAAGAGTAATTCCCTTAATGACAACTTGTAATTGTTTTGCTTCCTACACTTAAGGTGTACCCAAATGCATAATGAATGAGATAGCTAGGCTCACAGTTTACACTGAAACTGATGGTCATTGAATTTCTCTGAACAAAAATGAGTTGCATTTAATAATAATAATAATAATAATCCTTGCATTTGATATAGCGCTTTTCACGTCGGGAGGACGTCCCAAAGCGCTTCACAGAACACACTGTAAAGTGAATTGACTGTATATTTGTGGGCGAATGCGGCAGCCAATTGCGCACAGCAATGTCCCACAAACAGTCGTGGATTGAAAATGACCAATTTATTATTGTTTTTGGTTTTTGGAGGGATTATTATTAGGCTCTGTGTGGAGTAAGGAAACTTTACATATTCCATTTACTTTCTCTTCCATTACTAGTTTTATTCAGACAAACAGCTAAGTGTGGTTTCTGCCCAAAGTAGGGGTAAAATGGCTGGAGGGTCTGTTGGCATCCTGGCCTTTATTTTGCTCTTTGTCTGATTTTGAAAAGTGCAATTAACTGTTCTGCGTTTACCACAGATTTAAATGGAAGTCTGGCAATCTTGTGAATATTGCAAAAAATGAGTTGCAATGTTTCACTAGTACTCTAATATGTCATTCTCTGCAATGCTTTGTGGTCTGTGACTGCCCAAACACTGGGTCTCTGATCTCACCCAAGCTATGTTGAGGGCATCAAAGAAAGTGAGTGTTTTACTGTGAGCAAGTTATCCAAATAAATTCTAAGTTGTCTGTTGTCAATACGTGATGAATAGCAGCAATAAGAACTGGATTAGAAACCATATTTAACTTCTTTACATAGAGGAGGCCCTGAGCATTTAAACAATTCTTTTTTAAAAAAGAATTTCTGTAGGCAAGTTGGAAATCCTCATCAATTTATGAAGGCACCAGCTCTAATATTCAGAATGAGTGTGAGAGTAAAGCTGGTGATTCCAGCTCTTATTGGGAGATAAATAAAAAAGGCAAATCACAGTACGAAGATGGGAGTTACCTCTCACAGAGGGAGTTCGTATCATTCCTCGTGCACTGAGATGCCCCTTGTTTGGGAACCGCAGGTTGGGAATGGCAGCATAGGCCTGAGGCGCATAGAAAACAGGAGCTCCGAGGTAAGCAGCTGCAGGATCATATACATGTCCTAAAGTGTATGCATAATCTCCCTGCAGCATTGCCCCTCGGCCACCTGTTCCCCGAGTATACCGCACATAATTGTCTTTATCCACAGGCTTGGCCAATGTTACCTCAATTGGGGAACCATCCAATACCTTTAAGCAATGCATAAAATGTGTTAATAATATTTTCCAATAGATTGTAAAAAGCAATCGACACAAGTGATTAATGATTTTAATAGTACCTTTCCATTCATTGCATTCATAGTGTTAATGGCATCTTCTCGGGTAATAAAGTGAACAAATGCATAGTCTCGGATTTTCTTTACTCTTTCAACTGTGCCTGCAAGCAACACATCAGAACCATGTTTGTGCATATTCATAACACTGCACATCCTGTATTTATTTCTCATTAGTAATCAGCTTCCTAATATTTTAAGAATTATGCAAAGTGCTATATATGGATTGAGAGTGTTTGCCCCAAGGACCATCCAATTCATTATATACAGCATATGGGAAAATAGGAACTGGACTAGACCATTTCCATCCAATAAGCCTGTTCCATATATTTCAATTACATTATTTCTGTTCTGCATTACATTATTTCCAAATCTGCTGTCTCTCTGTCTGCCTGCCTGTCTGTGTCCGTTTTAAACATCTCAATCCTTTCTGATGGCTTTTTTTTAGTTCATTAGCTATGAATTGAAATTGCATAATAATGATCAAAGTCAAGTGCCTTAAAAGCATTAATAGATTCAACTGGCCTCTTGCCCATTCGCTAATTTACCAGAAATAATCAATATGTTTGTCCTGTTTTTTATGCCTTCATGCATATTAATTTCCTAAGACCAAACAATTCTACTAATTCGCAATATAGTTTATGATATTTGCAATACACAGCTTGTTTGATATTGTTTGCCATGCTATGTTTTGGTTGCAAAAAGTACTTTAACGCTAATAAAATATATTTATTTATAAATTTATTTATAAATTATTTATAATATAGTCTTACAAATGTAACTTTTGGAGAATAGAATTTTAGAAACATTTCTTGAGTGAGTCTAAATTTTCAACCATTGAGAGTTAAATAGAATTGGCATTGCTAGCCTTACCTGGTTTGATGTTGCTGAATTCTTTTTCGATTGTTTCTTCAGTGGTTGTTAGCATGAGATTACGCACATATAAAATTTTGACTGATGACATTGTTTCCTCATCAACTTCAACTTCTGGCTCAGCCCAATCTACAGCTATAGGGTGTCCCCATAACTGAATTCTTCCTAAATCAAAAAGAGATATGAAGCAGACTTATCATTCCTTCATTAGTACATTGTTATTTCTTGTTATCATTTTTTCATTAAACAGTAAATCAAAAAGTGCGACTGTTATAATGAATCCAGTTGTAGCATTAGTCAATACCAAACTTTTTTTTCTATTACAAATACTTCTTTTCAGACCTGATATTGAAATGTTAACAGTGGATTCTTTTAGATTCCACAGCAAGGCATGTTTAAAATTGTTTTGATCCTAGAATTAAAAAAAGTTTTTGTCGACATTTTGGAATGGAACTGCTCTATACTTCTGTATCAAGATGTGTTGAGTCAAAATTAACAGTAAAAGCTATGTTCCTGTGTACACAGTTTATAAAGCTACTTCCCTATGTTGAAAGATACCCAATCAATACAGATCCAAGCCCATTAAGGATAGCCTATTCACAACTTCCTGCAAAACAATTCCTCCATGCTATAAAACATTTCAAACCTGGTAATAGTTTTCTTCTTGCCATGGCTGCAGCCCGATGGCTATTGTACTCCACAAATGCAAAGCCCCGGTTTTTGGTCTTATCAGCTGCACTGGGGTATACAATTACATCAACAACCCCTTCTGTGACTTTTTTCATTTCTGCCAAAATTTCATCTCTTCGCTTTGTCTTGGGGATTCCACCAACAAACAAACGACAGTTGTCAACACTTGCACACACACCCAAAAGCCGTCCATTTCTACAGGAAATTAAGGACCTGTGTTATTTGCGCTGATCAATAAATAAATTTGATCTACTTTGTAGTATTTCTTATTGAATTTTTTATTGGAGTCAATGGACCATAAGGAAAACTGAAGAATCCCAACGCTATAGCCTTTTCTTGAGTTTGAAAGAGTCAAAACCCATTTCTTTTTTTAAATGAAAAAAACACAAAAGAAATCCATAAGATATTTCAACAGTTAAGATCTGCCCGATATATTCCGAATGAAATGCGTGTAAGATATAACTTTTTAATGGAAAAAATGCCAATGTTTATTTCTTGAAACTGCAATATTGCTATTTCTTGTGGAGCATTCCCAACAGCTTGTGGGAAAGCTACAAACTATGTTTTTCTCATTGACTTGTGTTCTTACAAGTTAAAGAAGACCCAACATCTGATTAATAGAATTATTATAATAAACCTGGCATTTAATATAGCACCTTATGTCAGCGAGACGTCTCAAACGCATATTTTGTATATTTTGTGGGCGAAAATACAAAATTGTACTTTTTAAAACCTTTTACTTAGTCTGTGAACCATTTATTAATGTATAAAACCCAGTGTACTTTACAGTGGTACAACAAAATTTAATGCTCAACAGAGCATTTGGGGTTTGGGTAAATGAACTGCTTATTCTCCAACGTGCACTGGGACTGTGAGTATAACTTATTGTTTTGATTTCAGCAATTCTTCCAAGAAGTAATGTAGTTGTCCTCAGGTGCATTATAAACTAACCTTATTTCATAATTATTAAGCTGTTTAATTGCATTTCTGGCTTCTTGTCTATTGGAAAACAGTACAAAGGCATAACCCCTATTATTTCCATTAAAATCCATCATCATCCGTAATTCATATATTTTTCCAATCTGAAAAACAATGAGAGAAATGTCATATGAATGGAATGAAAATGAATTATTTTTTCTGTCTACTTTTTTTAGAATTCTAAAAGAAAAGATAATTGAAGCTTCTTTCTCTTCTTAATGGACTTAACTCTCTATGTGGCTGTAATATATGTAGAAAATTGTAAAGAAAATACCTGTAGTTTAAACACACATTGTAATGGATAAAAATCGATCTTATGTTACAGATTTTATAGCCTCTTCAGAGGCTTGTGTTGATGCTAATGGGCCTCACTTTTAGTGAGGAAACACAAAAGGAAATGGAACAGGTATGAGCAGAAGTCATGTGTGGTTTGTAATAGTTCAATTTACTAGGCAGTGGGAGAGGGCAAGGATTTCAGATTGGCTGTGGTATCCATTTAATGTTTTCTGGCCCTATACAATGCTACCAGCTAAGTATTTCACAAACCCAGCTCATAGTGGGCTTTTGCGGGAAAAACAGGAAAACTGTATTGGTTTTGAGACCATTCTAAAGGGCTGATCCCAATTGAAATGAATGCAAATGTTCCAAAGTCNTTTTTTTGGAACATCCAACAGAGAGCATCTGAGAAGGCGAGGTAGGAGAGCCAAAATTACAGGACTTCACAAGGCAGTTTCAGACAGCAAAACGCTTACCCAATGAACAACTGAGTTCCCTAAATTAACTTGGCTATAATAGAATGATTATGATAGAAACGTATTTGTAGCTGTCCATGTTCACTTTAAAAATATATATATATATTGGGAAATGGGTTTTGTAATTTGTGTTTAATATTTATCTGTCTCTACAGTTATCCTGCCATGTTTGATCATTTGCCTTCTCCAGATCCTGAAATTTCAGATACAAATATTACTAAAGCATTACTTTTTCCAAAACTGGAACAAGTTCATCTTCATAAAGATCTCGTGGTAATTTGCCAATGAAAATCTCACAGCCCCTCTCAGGAGGTAGATCTTCCCAGCCTGGAGGGGGACCCCCATATTTTCTTTGCCCATTTTCCTGCAATAAAAGAGTAGTCATCATTGTTTTGCGCAAGAAAACGTACTAAAACTACACAAGTGGGAAAAAGACTTCAATGAATTGAGTACATTGGCAATTGTCACCACAAGCCCAGCCTGGTAAATGCAATGTCTATAAAGAGTGAAACAAATGTACACTTAAATGTCCCACAAACACATAGGAAGTGAATGACCAATTCTATTTGGTGGATTATTACCCAGGACACCGTGGCAAACTCCCTTCTCTTTTCGAATCATTCCATGGGTTCTTTAACGTCCACCTAAACAGACAGACAGGGCCTCAGCTTAACATTTAACCTGAAGGTTGCCACCTCTGACAATATAGCACATCGCCAGCACTGCATTGAAGTGTCAGCCTAGAGTAGATGGTTCAAAGTCCTCACATAGGGCTTGAATTCACAAGCTGTTGAATCAAGAGGTGAGATTGCTACCAAATGAGCCAGGCGGACACCACAAGTATGGACTGATGGATTATGGTAGTGAAATAAAATAACTATTACAGAATGACATTCAGTTATTTTGCCTTTTTAATACACTTCCTGAAAAGGATGTGATAATTGTAATGGTATCATTTTAAATCTAATTGTTCCTCTGGGCTACTATCTCAATGTTACAGATGAACAGGCACATCAGCTTCACATCTGCATAATAGGACAATCCATCAATGTGTGCTTTATGCTATATGCAAGGCTAATGTATCTCAAACTGTGTGTATGCAAACAAGGAAATGCATTGAGCAGCAACTAAAATATTAAATGTAATCTTTGTGAAATGCATGTTTAACCTCAAACAATGCTCTCTTGTGATGTGTCAGGGATATAAATTGCCCAAACATTTAACGTTTACATATTTGAACATTTTATTTAACAATTTGACACACATGCTACCTTGGCACCGATATGAATTCAAATCACAATTATTTGCAATACACATCATATATGCAGAATTACTCTAAAGCATAAAGGTTTCAGGTAGCAACTTCCTATATGCATTCTGATCTTTATTCTGAGGAAAATAAATCCCAAACTGCCAAGAAACCATCTTAATTATTTTCTAGCATATTTCATAATCAGTAAAGTTTATATTTGTTTCAAATTTGAATAAAAGCATCATTAATAAAATTTGGAACCTGTTTTGACCTGATGTCTTTCACCTCCTACCTGCAACAAGCTATATCCTGTGCGCTGAATCAATGCACGTAAAGTTGCTTCTTTTGGAGTTCCAGTCAATCCATCCCCGTTTTTTTGATTTGATTCCATTGTATGTGATTATCAGCAAAAAATCAGGATAATTAGAGGTGCTCACTGAAATCAAATTGAAATTCAATACATATTCAATTAATGTTACATGAAAGTGCTTAGGCTATTCTACAAGGTCTGTAGGATGCAGTTGCAAAAACGTCCAACTATTGCTATATGATTGTGCAGACAGAGAACATCTATCTTGTGTCCGAAGTCAATTAAATCTGATGAAAAAGTTTGAATTCCTGAGCATTTTTACAATTAAACTTCATCAAGATAATTACAATAGGGAAATTAATGATACTGGATATTAGACATCACATTCACACCAATCAATGGTGAACAAGGAGATCATACCACCCTCAAAATCAATAAACCTAATAACCTTGACAGTCAACCCCTTCATGACATCTTGCTTGCTAATGACATAAGCCTTGCTGAATAGTAAAATTCAAGAAAGGTTGTTTGGTGTTATCCCGTTCATTCCTCTTCAATAGCTACTGTTGCTAGGAGATATGCACTTTATTAAAATGTGTGTGAGATTGGGCAACAGACTAATTTTAAACATTTGCGACACCAATCCCACCTGCCAATTTGACTAAGCACTAGTGAGTATTAGAGCATATGGGATTGGTTGCATGTTAGGCACTGCTAGGAATGGAAGATGTGTTTGTCATCATCACAAAGGACCACCATAGATTGCTACTGAGTTTACATGAAAATGCTGCTACCAATTTCAGCTTCATAAATTTTCAAATGAATGTCACAGGCCATAGGGGTTGTAGTAGTGGTTATTGTGATGCGACACTGAAAAAGCACCAAGAATTTGGCATCAACGTGCATCACAGTTTTCAGATAGAATCTATCAACAAAAGTGTTTGGTGCCAGTTAGTGTCTCAATAACAAAATAGAAGGTCATCAATTTAGGTACAGGGCCTAGAATTTAATATTGATTAACCGTTATCTGACCTTTTTATCCAGATTAAGAGAGTATACTTGTAATTGTCAATTTTATTTTATAGTATTGGGCGATTAAACCGTGTTCAGAAAAGGTTTGCTTACTTGAGCAGACAGGAGAACGGTTTCAAACAGAGAAACATAAAACATATCTGTGCTCCATCACTACCCTCTGCCAGCAACCAATGTCCATCTGTCTTGCTTTATCAGTTGTTCATGATTATTACTGGTTCCAGCCAGTAAGTACTCTTTGGACCTTGTTGGAACTATGTTGGTATATAATACATACAAAAGCCATAATGTTCTAACATTCCTAAGGTTATTTTTTTTATAGCAAAAGGACACAGTTAAAAAGTTATTCTAAAATTCATCATGTTCAGACAATCGAATACACCGCATTTTTCCACAGTGTTTAGAAACTGTAATATTTGCCCACATTGGGTCAAGTACTGCACTAGCTTGCATGGCCCTCCAGTGAGCCTCTGCACCTGTCACTGAGTATGTTTCTCCATGGTGTTCGTTGAAGAGGTTGTTTGCGTGATGAAGGTACTCGGTGGAGAAGCCTGGTTACTGTTTGACCGAACAAGATAACTGGATGATGTTTATCTTGTGCAGATCGATAGTAGCTTGTTTCAGGCATGTTGACACAGCTAAAACCCATATGGTGACGCAGGCCATTGCACAACATCCACTACACTGCAGAGCTGCCAGTGAAGTTTCTCAACCGCACATTGTCTGCTCTCCAATTCAAATACAACTACAGAATGAAATTATAAGGTTGTCTCTTTGGTTCACACTTTTTCTTTCTATATTAAAAAAAGTCTTGACCTATTGAAATATTTCTCCATTGCCCCTATGAAATGCATTCCCCACCCCCCCAATCCCTCCCTGGAAACCTTCACACTACGTCCCAATATGTTAGAAGAGTTAACTTTCTTTTCTCCACTTTGCAATTGCATTCGTGCGATCTGAGACCTCCTTCCCCTAACCGCGACTCCTTCAAGATGTTTCAGTTAAGAGTCGTTCCCATCCACCTGGTCACACTCACTCCTCAAACCAATTCTCTCCATACACTGCGAGTTAATCAACGATTACAAGTATGGACTGCTCTGCTGCTGCTCTCAGTTTATTCAGCTACAAAACGGATGACTTTTTTTTTCCAAACCCCCACCCCCCCCCACACAGGCAACAAACACCCACTTGAAATATATGTGGCCAGTGAAATAAAATGCAGCCCCCCTACCTGAGCAATTTCAGAGATCACCACCTGGAAAAGTTCTTCCTTGATTATGGTGAATTATGGCGACGTGTCACCGGTGTTATTCTGTAATCATCGTATCAAACATCCAAAGGTTCGGCTCAAGGGGCTGGTTAACAATCGGCTCAGGTTAAACTTTAACTTCTCTGTATCTCCTGCACTGGGCAGCCCTTTGCTCAGCCCCATGAGAGCAGCAGCAGCAGCAATAGCAGCAGCAGCAGAGTCAGGGCTCACTTCCAGCCATAAGAAACTCTCTGCTCAAACTCTGAAGTGCATTGCAAGCATTGGCCATGTCACAAGAGTCTGGTGGGTTTGTGTTGTTTGCATTAAAAAAAATACCTCCCTCCCATACACACACACACATACACACACACACACACATACCTCTCATTTCTTGTCAAAAACTCTTTTTTTTTTTGGAGGTTCTGACCAAAGGCTGGGACTTGTGGAGTTTCCATGGCACCTGCAGGGCTTAACACGTCACCTTTGCAGCACCTCCATCGGGTTTACCTGGAGCAGAACCACATGTTAAAACGCCTCGCTGTTGGCTTCATTATTTGATATCCTTCTTCGAGAATTAAAATGGGCGGAAAAAAAAAAGGAGCATCAGGTCAGAGCGATTTACACAATCCCAAGGCGGATCTAAGTAAAAGGCCACGTGTAGATTGTGAAAGGCAAAGCACGTTACCTGGCAGGTTATGTGTGTGTTTGTGTGTGTGTGGGTTCAGAGCCACTCCCCAGTCTCTGTCCTTTGATAAAGTCCTCGATTATTTTTTTTTTGAATTGCAATCTGCTCTTTCATATTTTTTTTTGCAAAAAAAAAACCTATTTCGAATTGAATAGAACTATTCAGATTTTTCATGCAGATACCAAAATCGTTTACTTGATAATTATTTTTTTAAAAAAAAACCCTCCAATCTCATGGACTATTTGTTACCCAGATATACTGTGGTGAGTTATTACTTGTGGGTGTTTCTTAATTTCTTAGACTCTTGGTATCTCTCTTTCTCTCTCCACTCTCTTTGCTCAAAAGTTTCACTTTTTCTTTTCTGGGATCCTTGGGAATCCCATGTGTGGGATTAGCCACAGATCATCATTTGGGAGAAGGGTTTGTCACAGGGACTCTGACCTTTCAGAATAATTACAGCCACAGACCCTCCCTCGTCTTTGTTAAATTGTTCTGCCAGAAACTTCATATCAACCTCTTTAGTAATTCATTGGTGAATGGCACCTACTGTGTACTACATTTAGTGATACACTTGTAATTCCATCGCTGGCTATAAGACAGCAACACTGTGTGTGATGCTTTCACTATGAATTGCTTTTTGGAAGGAACATCCACAACAACACCCCGAGTGCTGCAATCGGACTGATGATATGTCAGTCAGTAGTGAAGATAGAACTTTATCAGAATCTTACATATTGAGGTTAACTGAATGAAAGAGGTAGATTACCTGCTTTTGTATAATCCACTTTTCTTGAATAATACTAGTAAACAATTTGCTCCACCCAACCTGTGATATTTACATTACATCAATTGGTGTTTATAGAAATCTATCATGCAATTTAAATGCTTTACATTCTTCATTTCCATCTTCCACGTGAAAAGAACATAGCCCAGGTTGAGCTTCATGATATGACAGGTGGGTAAGTCATATGAATGAGTGGAAGAGGCCATCATACTTTAATCTTTGCTCCCTTTCCTAAAAGTGACTAAAACCCATTCTTCATGTATGTGATAGATTCTCATAGAATCCTAGACATTCAGAACAGGTTATCGGGTCCATCAGAACTATATTGGTTCCAGTTGCTCTTTCCATTTATCCTTTTATATTCCTTTTCAAATGCTTACCCATTTCCCTTTTAAGAGTATGTTGCTCACCTCAACATGCAGTAAAACATTCTACATTCAAATAAAGCTGTGTGAAAGTTTCTTCTAAACATCTCAATTTCTTCCAGTGACAATCCTAGTATTACAAGATTGTTGTTGTTGTTGTTATCCCTGAACAGGGATTTAATTTTCCATAATTTCGAATACCTCTTTTAGATCACTTCTTAACCTCTATTCTGGTAAAACAATTAGTTTATTTTTTTATAATTACTGTATATGGTCTCATCGATTATGACCAGATGTCACCAAAACCTGGAAAATGAAGATCACATGTAAGTTTTCTCTTTGTACAGTTTGTATTATTACATGTATACCAGACATTTTAGAAAGTCTAGTATCATTTATAATTATTATTTCATAATCTAATGAACTAGTGGAACCAGCTCGATGGGCTGCATGGTCTCCTCCTTTTCCTCTGTTTTATCTCTTCTTTGCTCTACAATAAGACTATTAGTTTAGAAAATTGGATCAACCAAGTGGACACTAATATTTGTTCTATTTTCTATGTATTCCTTATGTACCTAAAAAAAATGAACGCTGAGTGAAAACTAACACTTTAGACTGTAAAAGGTTTTAGGGATCATTGTTGTCTTGATGCTTTTTTGTGATGTTTGTCTATCATAGTTATAAATTATTTTTGCAAGGGACATAAAACCCATAATTAACCAACATAAAAGGCAAACCCATTAAGTTTAGTTAGTTTAATATTTGAAAGCTCTTAAGCCTAAATGAATTGTGCTTTAAGGTAGAAAACAAACATTTGACAGAGTTAAGTGAAAATGCTTAAAATATTAAGTCATCAAGACTTCTCAAAGCACTTCAGAGGATATACTATAAATAGTTATTCTTATGATGTGATTGTGTGTGTTTTGTAAAATGTAGTGACCAAAAGTTTTTAGGTGAAGAATTACAGATTACAGATAATGTTTTCTAACGCTGGTGTTTGTTTCCAATATGTAACAGACATTATGAGTTACATTATAGATCATGTTATGAGTATGTTGTTCTGAATGGCTATTTTGAAGAATTGCAGTATTTTTGTTGTGAAAACAATTCACATTTTTCTCATCTTCTTCAAGAATGCATTGAGAGCAATACTCAGAGGACAAAGAGTGTTGTGGTGATTAACACTTCCAGACCCTGTAAATCCAAATGGAAATATCAAAGGACTTTCTAATGCAGCTTTTTAACTTGTATTGTACAAAGCAAACCATTATGGACAGAGGATATTTTATGCGGGCTTTGGATTACATAAATTTAAAATGTTACATATACACCACAAAAGTTGCTCCTGCTTATTTAGCAATATTATTTTGTAAAGAATATATATATATATCAATTACCAGAATATGAGAATACATATCAACTCTCTCCCTTTGAATAGTGGAAAAAAATGAAATTCTTTTTCTTTTTTATTGAGGTAGATTTAGTTTTCAATCATTGTGTGCTTTTGAGGTGTTCTGATCTAACTGCGTGTTTCAGATCATTTGTTCATTTCTCTGCATGGCCTCATATGTTTGAAACATTTGAAATTTGAAATAAATTTCTCAGATTTTTTGAGAGCCCTCTGTTATAGCTATTGTGGCAGTGTTGCTTACAAATGCATCTTTTGATTAAATGTACTTGTTTGTCTCAGTAAAATGTGTTTTATGTTATGCTTAATCAAATTTTTTAGTCTTTATAGCTGGAACACTAAGCCACCATTCATCTACATTGGTCTAAAGCCTCAGTGTTAGGTTAGTAATATAGTGCATTTTAATAATTTCAACTAACTTTTCATTATCATTATTGGCTAACTATAATACTGCTGCAAGCCACTACGTAATCTTGCAAATCTGTTGCCCAGGGATACCTATTGCTCCCGTGTGTTCAAAGTGCAATGTGAGGATACAGGTGTATAAACAGAAATGTTTAAGATTATTAGAATTTGGAGATTTGCACAAAATATTGCAGCGAGATACAAGCGAAGCCAGTGGAGCAGTATTTTTTTTTAATCTATCCAAACCTTTTATAAAATTCAAGCATTGCCTAGCTCTTTTAAATAATGGCAACTTATCATTACACTGTGGAAATAAGGTGTTTCTAATACTTGGTTATTTTCATTTTCCTCAGCCAAAATATTTTCTTCTTTCATTTCTTCTTTTCTCTTTTGGAAAGGATAGTCAGACATCAAGCCTTACTTGGTGGTGGAAGAAAGTGAGTATTGTAGAAGTTTCAAAGAGGAATTTGACAAGTTCCTGAAAATTAAGAGGATTCAGAGTTATTAGATGAAGTTTTGATAGATGTGTCAAAGGAATTTTTTGGGAAATTGGAGAGGTGGGTAGGCTAAATATATCAGTGGTCTTTTGCCTGAAACGGTTAACTCTGATACGTTTCTTCCTCATGAACAGGGTTGCCTGATTAGCAAATCTACTGAGAAGTCATCTGAAATCCAAGGTCAGGTACTAAACCTTCCCTTGAACTAGAGCAATTACCTGCTGTGCAATTTAAAATCTGGTCTCTATCTTTGTTGAAGATAATTGTTACATTTCTATCATTTGCAAATCCATTTAAAAAATGTGCTCCTTGATCAAGAGGGAAATCTGGCTTTAAACGTGTATAAAAATCATAGAATCATAGAATTATACAGCACAGAAGGAGGCCATTTGGCCCATCGTGTCTGTGAGGGCTCTTTGAAGAGAGCTATCCAAATCAATCCCACTCCCCCGCTCTTTCCCCATAGCCTACAAACTTGTCCTCCCCAAATAATTATCTCTTAAAAGTTGTTATTTAATTAGCTTCCACTACCCTTTCAGGCAAAGAATTCAGATCCGAACAACTCGCTGTGTGAAAACATTTCTCCTCACCTCCCCCTTGTTTCTTTTAACAACTATTTTAATCGGTGTCCTCGAGTTACCAATCCACCCGCCAGTGGAAATAGTTTCTCCTTATTCACCCTATCGAATCCCCTCATCATTTTGAAATTTTCTATTAAAGTCTTCTCTTAACCTTCTCTGCTCCAAGGAGAATAATCCTAGTTTCTCTAGCCTCTCCTGATAACTCAAGTCCCTCATTATAATAATAATAATAATAATCCTTGCATTTGATATAGCGCTTTTCACGTCAGGAGGACGTCCCAAAGCGCTTCACAGAACACACTGTAAAGTGAATTGACTGTATATTTGTGGGCAAACGCGGCAGCCAATG